AATACCAAAAAAATCCATAGGAAAAAGTAACATCACCCGCCCCTCCCTCCTCCTCTACTCCCCTCCCCTCCTTACTTCCCCCAACCAGGCACTACATCCACTTTTCCCCTCCCGCCCCCTCTTCCTCTACCCTTTCCCTCCCTCCCATCTGTTTTCCCCCGCCATCCTCACCTCCCTCCTCTGGCCGCTCCCCTACCCCCTCCCCCAACCAGAGCTGGTCACCCTCCCTCTACCCTTTCCCTCCCTCCCTTCTGGCCGCTCCCCTACCCCCTCCCCCAACCAGAGCTGGTCACCCTCTTCCTCTACCCTTTCCCTCCCTCCTCTGGCCGCTCCCCTACCCCCTCCCCCAACCAGAGCTGGTCCCGACCAGCTCTGGGCGAGGGTAGCCAGGGAAAACAAGGAGGGGAAAGGCCAGCAAGGGAAAACAGGAAAGGGAAACAGTGGAGGAAGAGGGGGCAGGAGGGGGAAAAGGGAGGTGCTTGGGGAGGGTGGGGGAGGCGGGATGGGGAAGGTGAAGTGGTTGGGGAGTCTCGAGGGAGGAGGAAAGAGCTAGCGAGGGACGGGGAGGGTAGCAGGGGAAAAGAGAGGAGAAGAGAGGGGGAGGGATGAAAAGAGATGGCCAGAGGGGGGAAGGGAGGGCGGAGGCAAGAGGGAAGGGAGAGGGAAAGGGGGCTGAGTACAGTGGTGGGGGGTGGTCGGGAAGAGGGTGGTGGTGTGTGTCCAGGGAAGAGGGAGGTGGAGGAGTGGTGTTTGCGACACACCTCAAAAACTCCAAAAATGATCCAACATACATCTACAGTAAAAAAATTTCTCATACAGAGCTACAGCAAAATTTTTTCAAAAACACCTATTCCATATTTTTTTTTTTTAAGAATTAAGCAGAATAGCTGCAAACAAATGCTGGATCTCTGGTGATCTATCGATGTCCATCTATTGATATGACGAACCCCAACACCAATGAGAGAGAGAGGGAGAGATGGAAAATAGCAAAACACCAAGTCAAATGACACACAGCCATACAGACAAAGATCTTACATTCTCTGCTGCATATTTCTGCGTACTCTTATAAACTCGGGCTCCATATTGGGCACATTTGCATGAGCAACAGGATTTTGCATCTGGGCAGTTAAAGGATTTCCATTTTGCTGGGATATTCCAGGCAAAGGACCAGATTGATTTGGTACTTGGCCAGAAATTTGGCCTGACATGTGCGCCTGTAGATTCATCCTTACCTAATAGCAGACTTTTCGGCAACAAATCCTCACAAATCCACCATCCAGGCAATAACTTCATACTAATAGCAATAGTAGCAATAATACATTCATCATTAGCCAATGTACTCCATACTCTGTACAAGCACCTCTCCTGGGGAAAAAAAAAGAGCGTGTAATAAGAAACTCAATTAGTAGACAGTTAAGTCAAGCAATAAATAATACAGTAAAAACAGCGTCCTTGCAAAGAATCAGAAAAGAAGGAAGAGGAACTGCATCCAATGACACCAACTTTAGAGGAACTCTTTCTCCTTGAGACTGAAAATCAATTTGAGATGAGCCCGAATACAAACAAATGATAAGAAACCAAAAAAAAAAATCAACTTTGACCTAAATTATCAAAGGCTTGAATACTCCACACCACAGAGGTGGAATGGCACAATGACCAACTAAGAAAGCATCCTTTCTCGCTCACTCAAAATCTTTACTTTGTACTGACATTCACTCTATACACAAAAACCAAAAAAACTACCAACAGAAAACTAACAGGAAAAAAAAATCAACTTTGCACATGAACAAGCAATGAGAGCTTGTTCTTTTCCATTCGAATACAATTACCAGCAGCAACAGAATCAATACTATCAAAACTAATGACAACAACAGAATAATCTCAATCCCCAGTTAAGCAAGCAGCAGTGTATGTCAGATGATCCTCATTCCACTTTTTCAGCAAGCTAAAAAACGAGCACTTCCCATAAATTTAACGTGAAGCAGCATCATTGAACATGAAAAATCACCTTCAGCAGCAAGTAACACTAGAACCAGCAATCAATTCCAAAAAAGAGATGATCTTTCAATCAAATTCAAAAAAGCAGCAAGAACTACAAACTGAACTCCATTTTTAACAACACATTCATTCCTGGACTTGACTCCCTCCCCGGTTGACCATTTAATAGCACAAAACAGCCCCCCCCCCCTCCCGTACAGGCATGGTGCGCCACAATTGAAGAACAGAAGAAGCACGGTTAGAAGAATAATTAGGAGAAGGTGACGGAAAGGAGGAAGATTTTACCTAAATAATAGTAAATTAATTTTGACTAATTTGGTCAGATTAGGGTTTGAAACCCCCTATTGAGCTGTGGTGATCGATTGCGGGAACGAATCCTTAAATTGGGGCTCAATCGAGGCTGAGGCGACAGAGAATCAAACTTCCCCCAAACTTTGATGGACTCTGGACAACGCCGGGATCTTCGATTTCTTCGTTTTTTGGGTTCGTTCTTTCGTACTTTCGTTCTTCTCCGATGGTGCTCTCTCTCTCTGTTTTTAGTGTTTTCTTCTGCTACTAATAATATTATTAAATTAAAAAATTTTAAAATTAAATGTTTTTGTCTTCTTCTTTTTTTTTTTTCCCCACCTTTCCTTCTCCGTTTTATTAAGTCGCCACGGGGAGTAATGTTTACGAGTGTAGGATACTAATAGAGCAAATCCTTCAAATGGTTCTTTAACTATTTTGCTAATTCACGTTTGGTCCTCTATCTTAAAAATGGGACCGAATTATCCTCCAATAAAATTTTTTGAGCAAATTGATCCCTATATATATGTGACAGAGCAGTTAATAAATAGTTGATCGAATGCAACGATGAGATTTGAATTCTTTTGGCTTTTTCGTGGCAAAGATGCCAATTTTGCTCAAAAAAATTTTGTTGAATGACCATTTTGTCTCATTTTTAAGATGAAGGATCAAAGTTGGATTAGTAAAATAGTTGATGGTCTAATTGGGGGATTTGCTCACACTTATCTTTAATTATTTGAATTGATTCATGAGTGAGTAAAATATGATAACCCGACGCAATACTCATCCCCCCCCCTTATTTTTCTTAATTTTTTTGGAAGAATACCCGTGTGATCTCTCATTATCCTTGTTTATAGACATATAAAATCCCTCACTGGCTCACTCTAAAGGTTAAAAAATTGCTACAACTCACCCAAAGCACTTCTCATGATGAAGAAAATAATTTTGCCTGACTTTAAAAAAAATCTCAAATGAAATGTTAATCATAACGTCCATTTTGATCGTTATTTTTAGGAGCTTTATAAAATATATATATATATATACTATAGCGATTTTATGTATGTGAATTAAAAGGGTGGTTAGAAAGTATGCTCACAGAAAACGTAAAAGTCTTTTTGCAGAAAACTACGATCCAAACAAGGTAATTTTAGTTAAGATATCATGCAGATATTTGCCAAAAGATGAAAGGAAAAATGCTTAAATTTATGCTTCGTAGAGTACAAAATTAGAAGCTAATAGCAAGTCTAAAAAAATTCAGTTGATGACGAACCTTAAGATTTAACGGGTAGAATTGGAATTTTGTGATTCTAAGGGACCATCATGGTTAAAGCTTAAAAGATAAAATCCAAATTAGTCATCAATTTATGGTTAAAAATTCTACATCGTCAATTTTTATGAAAATAAGGGAACTCAAATGATATGGTGATAAAGGAGAGGCTGCACGTTAGTCTAGACCCCAAAAATAAGGGACCAAAGCAATAGCTTTTCCATTAGTTTTTATCCATTTCATCATATTTTCAATAATTTCTAGTAAGTATCCAATATATGATATACATAGGGGTACAATACTTCTTTTTTACTTGAGATTTTTTAGTCATCCAAATTATAAACTCTAACGTCTTCGATAATTACCATGCGGCTATGACAGTGAGAGGGAGGGGTGGATCAAGTAGTACAGATAAATATTTGTAGAAGTGGGAAATCTTGGATTCGAAACCATCTATTTACACTTAAAATAATAATAATAAAGGACACGCTGTGATAGTGGTAGATATTTCGTTGCCTTAAATTACATTAAGTTTGTGTGTTTCTTTAAAATTTTCAAATTTGTTTTCCAAAGTTTATGAGATGATTGAATTTATTAGATGCCATCCCAGCACAAGGTCTAAGCAGAAATCCAAATTTGACTGCTATCTTTACAACAATAAAGTCTGTATAAGCAGTTAACTTAGTGTATTTCTACATTTATCTTTGTCTGTATTATCCATTAATCGTTATCTCTATTATCAATCCTTTTAAACTTTCATTTTTATCCTCGCAAAAACTAAAATTTATCCTAACTATCCAATTATATACGACCAACATAATTTTTGCGGCAACTACCAATAGGTGTAAATATCCAAACTTTTTATTATAAAAAAAGGTTTAATTACCAAAATAACTACCAATTGACATAGATAACCATCCAGTTAGGGAATGTTTCTTCCCATTCTATATCTAATAGTACCATGAGGTCTTTTTCAAAATGTACGTTCACAGTATTAGGAGGAGAACGGAAATCCTAAGGATTTTGTAGGTGACCAATAGTTGAACTACATGTTTTGCGGGCTTCTCTTATAAAGTTTTTTTTTTTTCTTTTTTTTTTAAATGTTCATCATTGAGATGCTTAGACCTTTGTATTTCATAAAGAAAAATGAAACTTTAATTCACTTTTCCACATTTTTTGTTTTCAGAACTTCCAAATACACATCTACTACATATTCAGCTTGATTTGCATGGCTAATTTTTATATGCACCGTCAGTATACACAGATGCAATATTATATCAACAACTGCTAGTGTAAAAAAAAAAAAAAAAAAAAAAAAATCTGCGTTGACGTGACAGCGTATAAAGACCTAACCCTACCTAATGATGTATTTTTTAATTAAAAAAAAAAAAAAAAACTTAATCCTACCTTTTGCTACCAGATTTGGACTAGAATTGGGATCAAACCACAGCTCAGAATAATTTCCAAGTTTCAAGTAACAAATGCTCGCAGGTAAGCTGTAAGATGATATCTTCAATCTTTGTTACATCCATCCTTCACCTTGTCACAACAAAATTCAAAATGGGGAGGAAAAGAAAACAGAAAAACAGTGGAACTTCAACCACAAAACAAGTTCAGAGAACCACCAGACCTAGTATTGATGTCTTGCAAATTCACTATGTTCAGCAGCAACAGCAAATCTTTTCATACGCCTAAAACCTGAGCAAAAGTGGTCTCTAAACAGATTCAAATATTAGGTGTAGCTTCTCATGCAACACTAAATTTAAATAATGTTTTCAAAATCTGAAATCAAGAGGCAAAGAAACAAAGAATGTTTCGGCCTAGTTGATCGGTAAAATGTGTCTTTAACTCCACCAATGAACTTTCTAAACGATCATATGTAACCGATGAACATGCATTTTCACAATTCAGTCTCTAGATCATGACGGGACATAAACAGCAAATCATAGACCCAGACACACAAGCATGCACATGCACAACATTGATGAAGGGGATCCAAAGAGTAGCCAAGCACCTTTTGGAATGAAGAAGAATAGTGTCCTGATATCCAAGGATTTATTACACAAGCAGCATTTTTCTGATTTCTCAAATATAATAAGAGAGTGTGCCCACCTATTGCCATGGAAATGAAAGCATACATGATTCCTAGAGGGATCTCCAGAAGTTAATTTTGCATAATGGAATTCAAACGGTGTTTGCTGAGAACCAAAATACTTGGAGGCACAAATGAAGTCAGAAACTGAGAACATGCGCACATAAACTACAAGTTTCAGTGTACAATGCTGAACCTTTTTATTCATAAATTTTCATTCATATCTTTTGGAAAGTGATAAAATCAGAAAATAAAAAGAGATGATTAAGTCTACTATTCAAACTAAGTTATTAGTTTGAATACTAAAGTTGAATTGCACAAAGAGGTGACATGTAGAACAAATAAATAAATCTACTCCATGAGAAAAAGTTGCATAACCTTTTTATCCTGAGATGACTCACTGACAGCCGATGCAATGTGTCAGGTAATATATTTACCAAAAAACAAATAGTGAAATAATACTGCATAGGTCACGCATAGACAATTCAGAACAACTTATAAAGTTAAAAGACTAGACCTGGATTACAAGATAAAATGACAATTTATATCGGAAAAAGATAACATCTATCAACATGTTAAACAATTTAATCATTAAGGTCAATGCAACTATGACTCAACATCAAGATACAGATATGTGAAAAGTAGCATTGATGTCTATGAACACACACAGAGATAGACAGCAGATTTCAGCCAAGGTAGATATCACGAATTATAATCATTTTTGGCAATGTAACATCACATATCACCAGAATTTCTTACAATTAAGTCTGTGGACTCAATGCAACACAAAAATTTACCCAGAAAGATTGTTAAAGAAACAACTACAATATAAGGAACAAAACTAAAAGAAGGGAGATCTTGTAGCAGATCTAATGGTATTCATGCTGACCTCAGTCCTAACAAAAAAATTTTTGTTCTAAGAGCACTTCAAGCAACAAAATAAGGGAGAAGAATTGAATATGTGACAAAAGCATCTTGTTGCTTAGCAGCTGATTTTGAAGTTGTCGTAATACACACTGTTAGGTCCCTTGTTGGGAATGACATTTACACATGAAGGAAATTAGAACATACAACCTTTTGGATCTTGACTGCGACACTGGTGCAACTGAGTCCATATTAAGGTGCTAACCAACTCTATAAATCCAATTAACTAAAATTAGGAGACATTGTTTGATGAAATGAATCAAATGCACAAGTCATGATGTAAATGTACTACACCCGTCCATTAAATCTTTCTTTTGACTCACATTCAATGCTGTAACTGTGCTTGTCATTCACCTATTAATTCAAGGGAGCATCTAATTGAAGGTTAACGGAAGGTGAGGTTAGGAAGTGACATGATTTCTTTGTGCATTCAACTGCCTATATCATCTTTTCTTCAATTTTGCTTTCCTCAGTACAGTTCGCCCAACTGGTTCTTTTGCTATACATACTGAACTAACTAATGGAAAATGCCTTGATTCCCCATAGAGGTATGATTACTGGCATATGCAATACATGCCCAACCCTTCAGAATCAGTTAGTTTCCTCAATTTAGTCCCTAGAAGTGCTTTTATTAGATCTTGTAGATAAGTTAACATAGACTCATACGTTAAGTATTTATAACAAATCCAGTGGGCACATACACTACAATATGTCACTTTATCATGATCAAGATTCTATTCCACAAAGCATAGCTAGTAAATGGCAGTTTTACAAGTTCATTCCAATTCAATAGCTACAAAACTACCATACAAACAAGCTGAAATTTTACCAGATGATTCAAAAACGTGCAAAAGTTCTTGTAACCCTTTCCTTTCAAGGGGACTATGAGGCATCCTAGGTCTATACACAAATCTAAAGAGGTGGAGGGAAGAAAACATAGAAAAAGGATGAAGAGTTCTAACCACAAAGAAAGAATAATATAGTGGCAGACCCAACGCATGATATCAATCAGCCCCTGGAGCATTTGGCCAGTGAAGGAATTTATAACCTTGAAGTGATGGTGGCATATAGGTCTGAGATGAAGCTTTAGGATTGTCAGGAGGATAGACATAGCCTTTCCCATATCCAATCTCCTTCATTAGCTTCGTCGGTGCATTCCTTAGGTGAAGCGGCACCCCCTCATTCTGCCCAACAGAGTCTCGTGCTACCTTCTGTGCATCTTGAATTGCTCTGTAGACGGAAATTGATTTAGGAGCCAGAGCCAAGTAGGCAACGCATTGCGCTAGAACCACATTGCACTCTGGCATGCCAATAAAGTGACAAGCTTGGTAGCAAGCAACAGCCTGAGTAAGGGCAGATGGATCAGCCAAGCCTACATCTTCACTGGCAAATCTGATGAGGCGACGTGCAATGTACAGGGGCTGTTCTCCTCCTTCCAGCATCCTGGCCAACCAATAGATTGACGCATCAGCATCACTCCCTCTCATGGACTTGTGGAGCGCACTGATGAGGTTGTAATGCTCTTCACCGTCCCTGTCATAAGCTATATGCTTAGACTGCATTGCCTCTTTGACATGACTTACAGTGATCGAAAGCACATCTGAATCCAACGATCCTTCTCCTCCTCCACGTCCTTTTTTCTGATGAAAGCGCTCTGTAGCTGCAGTAGTAGCCGAAAGTTCCAATTTGTTCAATGCCACCCTTGCATCTCCGTCACAATGAGCTGCCAGGAACTCAATGGCTTCATCCTCTACTTGAACTTTCGAGAACGATGAGAGTCCCTTATCGGAATCCGAAATGGCCCGCTTTAGGAGAGTGGCAATGTGGTGGGGTTTGAGGGGATTGAGGACAAGCACAGTGCAACGGGACAACAATGGAGTAATCAAATGGAAAGATGGGTTCTCAGTGGTGGCACCTATGAAAACAATGCTGCCATCCTCAATCACCGGTAGGAGAGAGTCCTGTTGTGCCTTGTTGAACCTGTGAACCTCGTCAATGAAAAGAACAGTCCTCATCCTCCTATTGTTATCGATCTTGGAGTTTTTTGATTTCCACTTTCTAGCCTCCTCCACCGCGTCTCTGACCTCCTTGACCCCCGAATTCACGGCTGAAAAGGGAACAAAACGGTAGACATCAGAGCAAGAACTGACAATGGCTCTGGCGATGGAGGTCTTGCCGGTGCCGGGTGGTCCCCAGAGGACAATAGAAGGGAGGCGGCTATGTCGAATGGCGGAGCGGAGGGCGGAATTGGGGCCCAGAAGGTGTTCTTGGCCAACCACTTGGTCAAGGGTGGATGGCCTCATCAGCTCCGACAAGGGTTCACGTGGAAATGCCACCGGCGAGGAGGAGGGCTGTTGTTTACTAGCATAATTATCGCGTTCTTGCGGGGAGCTGCTTAGCCTAGGCCTCTTCCCTCCCTGTAAGTGATGGTCATCATCATCAAGAACGTCTTCATCAGCATGATCATGCTGCTGCTGCTGCACCTCCTCCTTGCATAGTTGGGATTTAGAAGAAGTAGCGGGCGTTGGGGTTTGAGTTTTGCAACGGAAGTGAAAGAAGCGATCGATTTTGGGCTGGAAATTGGAGGAGGCAGCAGCAGGAGAAAGAGGAGGAGGAGGAGAAGGGCTATTATCATGGTGAATTTGAGGGGCTTGTAAAGCAGTTGCAGTATCAGCAGTATGACGATGAGGAGGACTGGGTGTTGTTTGGCTGCGGCTGAGAATCCAGTCGGTGGCCTTGACGATGTCGCCGCCGGCGGCCTTTAGAGCTTCAGCAGCCAGAGAGTTGGGGAACCCCATGCTCACCAGTTGCTCCATCATTACGTGCATCTTTTCTCCCTTCCTCTGGCGCCAACTCTCATCAAGGAATTGGAATTTGGCACTTTCAGGAAAGCTGAAATGTCAATAGTCCCACCCCACTTTTTAACTTTCCCATCCTGCTGCATCTTACGTTGGTGACATTCAAAAAAGTTGCCCTTCTTCTTCATGTTATTACACTAGTCACCCATAGTCACTATAAGGGTTAATTCTAATTAAACCCACCACCCCTCAAAAAATGTTTCTTTTTCACATGAATGTCTAATTGAATCAATTCACCCCTTGTGCTATTATAAAGTTTTCAATCAGGTACAATTGGCTGGATAGCCCAATTTCAGCTTGAGTTTTGCATGTGCATTACATATATACTAATACATTTATACTCAATTACCAATAATTACACTTTTACTCATTATACATTTATTCTATTAGCCCAAGTAGGCACCGACGAGGGGGGAATGCTTGGGCAACGGGATGAGGGACTTCACCCCCCCCCCCTTCCCCGGTTGCCATTCCTAGTGGTGATGGAGATGGGGTGTTTTTATTTTTTATTTTTCTCAATACACCAAAATTTCCTGCTGCAATTGCAATGAATTCTAAAACAATTACAGTAAACTACACTAAATTTTTAGATAAACTCATGAAAAACGTGCCATTCAAATGGATCATGATAACTAATCCATGGATTATATCCCAAAGAAAAAAAAACTTTGCTAAAGGTCGAAACCCCCAATCTTGTCAAATTATCAACTTTCATGTGAAGTGATAAAAAATTTTCATGTGAATATGTTAAAAGAGGAAATGATGAACACTAAAAAGAAAATTGATTAAAAAAATCATACAATTCGAGCTTTGCTTTAACCGAAACAAGAAGAAAAACACATGCATTGCTAGGTTAAGAGATGGTAGTGATACGGTTGTAAATGAACAGTTGAGATTTAATTCAAAAAATGGTAGATTTTAATTCGATCTTCAACTAGCTCGAGCCCAAATTCAAACAGAAATTAGGATTTGATTAAAGTATCAAATGCAATTTGAACTTGTGCATGTTCAGCTCCTTAAGGATAAGGCCTGGCTAATTTTTTAATATTTAATATAAAATTATTCATTTTATTATTTTATTATATAAATATTAATATGTATTTGTTATAATTAAATATTAAAATTAAATAGATTTTCAAACCCTTGAATGGAACACAAGCTTATTGAATGTTAAATTGAATTGAACTCAAACTTAAATTTTGAGCTCTAATAAAATTCGAGTTTGAGTCCAAAAATTTGAATCTAACTTTACAGGTTTAAAATTCAATTTAATTTGATTCGTTTTGCAGGTCTATGTAGTGGTTTTACTGTTTCTGTCTCAACCTAACCCTAACGAGTCATGGTGAGTGAAGCAAGTTGGATTATGGTGAGATCTAGGTCTTCTTGTACATGGAGCAATGATAGAAAAGACTATAAATTGGCTCATGGTGATATCATTTGGATGTACACCTATATTTACCAAAATACACATATCTTCACAATTCGAGAGCTCAAATAACTGATCAAATTCGAGCTCAGAATGATGCCGCTGATTAGTGAGAAGAAGATTTCGCTCACCATACTAAGAGTGATGATGCGTGTTTGCTTAAGCAGAGATTGATGTTAGCGAGTTGAAGAGCACCAAGAATATTGCTGGTGTTCTTGATGGTTTCCTTCTACTAAGATTGATGTTGGGGAGTTGAAAAATATCAAAAATATTGCGTTGAATGAAAAAACTACTCATTTTGATGGTAACTTTTTTCGTTACACAGTAGATGTAACATCCATATTACACACTTTAATGTGTTGACACGTATTCTCTTTCCTTTGAATTATCATAATTAAGTTGAACTCAGACGTCCATACTTTGAATTATCATAATTAAGTTGAACTCAGACGTCCATACATCAGGACGTGTAACATAGGTGCCTATGTTACACGCTAATGTGTAACAGAGGATTCATAGCCCATTTTGATGGAACTGATTTGTGGCAGTTGAATGCTTAGAGAAACTACACATTTTGGGGCATAATTGTTCCATTAAATTCACTGTTTCCCAACAAACCTGGTCAGTGGTACATATGTCACCACTGTACAATTTCTTTTGCGAATTGGGGAGAGTTGGTTGACAATTATAAGGTGCCCATCACGGTTCAGTTTTTCTAAGATAAGTGTTTGATTCACAACTGACCACAAATGTTTAGAATACAAGACAAGAGGGGAGGGTGTGCAAGGTGGTCTTATGTACCTAATATGATATTCAGGGAGGTGAAATTCGATTTTTTGCTTGGTTTATCTAAGGATGGACAAGACCCCTGCATTTACATGTTATGTTGAATACAGCAAGTTTGCCTTTTGTAATCTACATGATATTGGAAGCATTGTTAGGGTGAAAAGGGTGGCAAGGTTTACAAAAAAGATTTCTATACTGGAAGCATTACTCCTTAAACAAGGGATATTCAAGAACACAGACCTATGTGTGGTTGGACTCTGAATTCTGCTCGCGACGAAGAAAAAGACCTAGAAAGCTGAACTACGAATGAAATGTACAAATATGTACACAATGTACAACAAGAAGCTTAATGTACACAGCTTGGAACTCACTTCAGCAATGAACTGGCATCGTTAAAAATCAGTGGCAGGCGAAAAATATACTCATTTGAATTGCGAATGGAAGAAGTCTGCCTCCTGTTTGGCTATTTGAGATTGCTTTGGTGCAGAATGTAGGTCCTGCCCCAGCCTCTGTCTTTTCCCTTCTCAATAGTAGACAAAAGCATTTGTAGAAGGTCCTGTGCATCTTCTTTGCAGGCAAACTCTAAGTTAGTCTGGAATAGAGGAAGAGGACTCTGATAATTGTTCCACCGCTTTACCCGACTTCCCTGACTGTGCTTCTGCTGCTGGTGCGGGGATGCCCTCGAGAAGGTATCCATACTGCTTCCTACTATGTGTACTGCGTATTCATCAATAGTGGCATGAATTACACTGTCCATTCCAATATCTGCTTCTACGACCCACTCTGGGCTGGCCGGAACCCCCTGGAAATCGGGCTTACCCAAATCAACCAGACTGGAGCAACTCACCACCAAGATACTTCTGTCTGTGACGATGACGAATTTACCACCCTGTCTAAGTGCTTTACACATGATTAAGATCTGGTCTCCCAGTTTCGCAACATTTTCAGCATTCCTAAGCACAGCTGTTCCAATGGCTTCCTCCCAAGAGTAAGGCTTCAGTGCACATCCTTCACTTAAAGCCCTTGGTAGGCGTACTCTAAATCGCTGTGAACCGACATGAGGAATTTTGCTTCGGTTTCTGATGCTTTGTGCTGTTTTTCCAGTAACCTCAAGGATACTTGCTGCTGGTTTTGCCACAAGTCCTGTTACACCTAGAGCAATGCCTGCATGGACAAATAGAGAATGAGGAAGGGAATATGTAAAACTTTAGGAATCAGTCGCCAGAATCAGCTAGTTGATTTTGGACTACCGTCCAAGGGAAAAGGCACAAATAGTACAAAGATATAACAGAACAACCGGAAACATTACCTGAAACAACTCCAGGTAGGCCATGTTTTTCAGCACCTTGAACAGGTGATTGGAGAAGGCCAGTAAGCCCCTGAAATGGGAAGCTTAAAGTCCATTAATATTTGAACAATCATTCTTATGGCTCACTTGTATATTCTTGTAAAACATAGGTAGTGTACGATGGCTGATATAGAAACAAATAAAAATGTGATATGGGCCAATCATCACTCATGCAGCTGAAAGGACCAGCAACTCTAGAAGAAGCAATCAAATCACTTTACGAAGCCCAACAGATTTTGATGTTACTGTTGAAAAAGGGCTAAATTCCTGCTGAATTCATGGTTTCTATTAGATCAACTATGGCTGGATATACTGCTTCACTCTCCATGAGGATATTCTCTCTAATGTAGTAATACAATTGCCAACTTCTCCACTTTAAACTTTCATAATACTACTTTAAATGAACTACATTTTGCAGTAATACGATTCCTAACTACTCTATTAACTATTATATTACTTTGTGAACAGTGAATAGTGAAATTTTATTGGATACTTCAATTTATGTACTCCATATCAGATGACCGGTGAATTTATGTGTTGATACTTGTTAGCTAAATCCATTTGTTAGTGTTATTGGATATGCTTTGCTTTCCGTTTCATTTTCTTATTTTGTGCATATTCTTTTTACAATTACTGATCGAAAACAAAATCATCTTACCAGAAAAAACTTAATACTCTCATCTTGTCTTTCAAGATATCTTTCGCCAAGTTCCCATGAACATCCTCCATATAAACATTATTAATTATTACCCGTGCATTTGGAAACAACCAATTTCACAGGTGTTCCATTCCTGAAATTGCTATACTAATAAAATTGTGTGCAATAATCTAACCAGTTAAAAATAATGATTACCCAAAGAAATTTCCTTGACGGAACAAACTTATATTGTACTTTGATTGATGCTTACTCTGTAATAGTGAACAGTTTCAATATTTAAAATGTTACCATCTATACATGAGAGAAGTTAAAATTAGTGAATGGTACAAATTTAGTTAGTACTAATCTTTTTCACCATTTTCTATGCAAATGCATGACTAGAACTACTACAAAAGAAGTGCCAGAAATTGCTCATTTACATCTAATCACATCAAGTTATTGAATGAAGTTTTTGGATAATACAAGCAAATGAACACAAATTTCAATTTATCAAAGCAAACAACGAGTACTATGAGAATTGTGATAACAGAGAAACGCACCTCCAAAAATTCATTAATTACACCTTTGCTATTAGTTGAAATTCCCTTTTTTTCCCTTCCCATCTGCCCAACATTCTGGTTATCCAATGCAAAAGCAACAATACCCTGCAAGTGGAGATTTGTGTTACCACTAAGAAGTCAATAACAATTACACGTTTCAAGTATTGCTAGGTAACAAGTACCTTATGTGCTGCTCTGCTGAATTGACTCGCAGCATCACTTATCGCATAGAGTGTGTTACTCAGAAGACTGGTGGTGCCTTGTGCCATGCCTGTAAGGAGTCCTACAGGGCTCTGCAGGAGCCATTGTTAATTCCACTATATAAGGTCAATCATAGTCTTAGCAAAGAGTAGTATAAACTTACTTGAAAAACATTCTGGACAGGAACTGATACAAAATCTTTTATCCCAAGACTGACGCTCCTCGCAAATCCCAAAGGATTGCCAATAAGGCCAGCAGAACCAAACAACTATAGATAAACAATAAAAGCTTAATATGTTGCTAACACTGCTGATTTAAGAAAAACAAAAAGAGACAATCAGAGAATAATATCTAAAAATACAGTTTTAGCACATGTAGAGTTCAAAGTAATTTTTCTTCATACAAGAGACATGGATGTATATGTGAACAGCACTGGTTTTCTGTCCAGCTAATTGAGATTGAGAGGGAGGCCAAGGTCATTGTTCCCTAATTCTCATCAGATTAGAGAAGAATACTCCACAGGATAAATTTAGAGTCTCCAAGTATCAAAAAAATTATGAGGCAGGCTAAGATGGAAAAAACAAGCTAATGAGCCTAATGTCCCTAATTTGATGTGATGAAAGCCAATTCTACTAGGGAAAAAACACATCAAAACATTCCACACTTGGAGATTGGACTTGCACGTACTTTCAGCATAAATTCTAAAAGGCTGGAAAGCCAATAATCCAGGACATACAAACCAATTACTAGAAAAGCACCAAAATAAAAGATATGCATCTCACTGCATTCTTTTTCAATCTATGCCTTCATCAACCCCACTATATAGGAAAGTATAATCTGAAGACTCAAAAAGGATTGAGTGCTCAATTGATTTACATTCTTCAGAAAAAGCTTGTTGTCTAATTTTTGTGTAAGACAAAAACTTTTTGAACTTAAGGAACAGGTCAAAAGACTGGTTCACTCACCAATTTTTGTCCAATTCGAACTAGTACTGGTCAATGAGAGAGATAGACAGTGGCAGGAGCATTACTTTATTGGGAAAGTTTTGGAATCCAAGTATCACAACATGTTATCTACTTCTTTATATGCTGCATTGCCACTTTCTTTTCCTCTTACCACAATATACAAAATGAGCTAGCTCAGAGTTAGCTCTTCCTTTTCCTTAGTTACCTGCTCCATCCTTTTCACCACCAGGCACTTCTAGTCAAAGACCAATCACTCCAGGGTTTTATTTGTCATCATTAGATTCGGTAACTACACCATCATCTGGCTTAGATTCCAACACCTACATCCAACTTCTCGCCCTGTACCTTATTGTAGATATATCCCTCTATACATAACTTTGCTGCCTCACTATGTTCTCTCTGACTTCAGCAATCTGCATGAAGCTATTTGTCATCTGAGTTGGAAAATGGCTATCACAGACATGTTTGCTTTGTAAAAAAAATGAAAAATTTGGCAACTTCTACCAGTCCTTATGTCAGATTAGTGTTGGTTTTACATACAGCGAGCTACCGGGCATATTACTTCTTTCGAAGTTCAAAGCAACTCTGTCACCAAAGGGAGAATTATATGGCTTTTACAATTGTGTTGCAATGGATTCTGATAATCTTAAAGATGCTCCCAAGAGACTTTGACATATTAGTATAATTGGCAAGTTGACGTTCAAGGTCTAAAACTGTAGCAGTTCCAAAGGCTCTGCGGGATGTTGGTCACAAAGAAGAAGAAAACTGACAAACGCTTCATGCAGGAAAGTCAAGTTCCACACTGTAATGTTCTATGTGATAGTATTATACAATCAAAAGATCATTTGAAGAGCTAGAGCACGAGTATTGGGTCAAATAAACATAAAGCACCCTGAAAAGCACAAATTCTCACTCTTCAGGCTCGAAATCTCTCAATCTTCCTACAGATCAGAACATAATAGTCCAATAAGCTGATATTCTAATTGCCAAACCGTCTCAGTTCCTGATGCTGAAGGACAAGAAAACAAGGGACAAGATACCTTGGAAGAATAAATGGAATGTAACTATGAGCCGATCAGATTCTAAGAGATGCAGAGACACCACTTAGAGATTACCTTGTACATCTCATGAAGAGACTGCCTACTGTAATGCCTGATAAGGATCTCCTGGATGGATTCCCAGCTAGCCAGCTGATGAGAAAGAATTAGCTCTTTAAGGTGAATATTTGCACCCTCGACGTCTGCTAGGGCCATAAAACCCCTCTGTATTTCAGTGTCATCAGTATTAGCAACAGATAAAGCTACATCAAGAACTTTAATCACCTTCACATCAGAAAAATTTAACATAATTTCCTGAAAGCTTTTGCTTACATGGATGAGGGATTCTCCCAATGCAAGGACCCCACTTCGAAGCATCCATGGGCTGCTGGAAAAGCTGGAGCAAGTAACACATCATACAGGTCAGGGTTTGTTTATCTCAGGAGAACTACAAAGAGAGAAAAAAAAGCGGATAAACGGAAAACCTTAAAGTCATCTTAATTGGTGCCAGATCAAGCAGTTCAACATATATTTTCTTCTGCTTTCTCGCTAGAAGGTGAATTTGCTGCCAGGGAGCTCCAATAGGAATTACTGGAGGAAGCGAAGAGCTTCTCCAGTCTTCTTGATATGAAGTAGTAACAAGGGCCTGAATTTGTGCATTAGTATCCTTGACAATGCCAGGGTCAGAAAAAGATGGATAAAGTGTAGAATCTACTTGCTGCAGAACCCTGGTTTGGAACCTCATTTGCATAGTTTTGAAGTATCTTAATAGACTTAACACCAAATCTTGCTCAAGCTCAAGATGAAAATCTGTCACTCTGCAATCATTGTTCATAAAAACAAAGTTTAAATACTGCTTCTTAAATTTATCATAGAGAACAAGTTCCGTAGTGCTTCTTAACATATTAGACATAATTGACAGAACAGCAGAAACCTTAAGTTAATATGTTCAAATGACACCAACGACATATTTTTGGTCCTCCACTTTGCCACAGATAGGTAGATCACTGGTTCTTGCAACCTATCGGAATCAATTTGACCTGTAATCATTTTCCTATCGTCCTTATTGCCTTTATAGCACTTGTCAAAGGACAAAATGACAGGGTATGGAGTGCTTGGCAACTGGTTATCAATTTGCAAGAATGAGATATGCAAGCAAAACTTTTGTTGATCAACACTCTGAGTAAGATCAATTCTTGAATTCTTTGCACAAAGAAAGAGCAACTCCTACAACAGAATAGAAGCACAAAAATATAAGCACTGATCCATGTAATTGGATTTGTTTCAGCAGCTATGTAAAAATTTGATACGTTTTTACATACCTCTGGGTAGGAATTCATTAGAGAGATCCCAATAAAGGGAATGTCAACTAATATCCTTTGGTTAAAAGGACCAAAACTTTCACGTTTTTGTGCTTCTTTTTGCTTAATTTTAAACTTAAAGGTGTCTGAAGTAGGCAAATCATTCAAAACATGGTGGCTGGAATCAATAATGCTGAGGACCTGCCATAATGTTACAGCTAAATATGATCATTCCTGAAAACTGAAGGAAAAATATGGCATAATAAATATATCAAGTACAGCATGCGTACCTTAATTGCTCCTTCAGAATGAACAGAAACCAGCAAAGTTCTTTCGGGTTTCTGCAAAAGATAATACAAATGACAGCTCATCCTGACAGTACATTCATCCCAGTCATCAATTAAAGAAACACAAATGCCGAGTTTTGTTTAGAACGAACAAAAAATATAGAAATTTTATCACTACAAAAGATGTAGAATGTCGACAAAAAGGCAGAAAGGGACTAAAAGAATACATAAAAACACGTTACCATCATGGATTAGTTATATATTCCTTGATCAGAAAACATTTGCATGCAGAAATTCTTTGACTTGAATGCTATGCTAATTCCACAATGTCAATTGTCAATTCTGGCACAACCGTTTCAATTACTCACCAATGATATCATCCGGTTTATCTTGCACACACTTGTTTTTATCTTTTTTTCCCTGTTTTGTACAATGGGCGCGTTACCCTAGTCTAACTCTTTCTTTTTTTTTTTTGTGGTTCAGGAAGGGGTAAGGTTTGCATTGAGAGAAGCTTTGATGCTGAAGTGTGGATATGTGCAATTAAATTGAAATTCTGGCCCTTGTCTAAGTAAATGAAGCTACTTAAAATAACATTGTATAGTGTTCAAAACACACAATCAGACATTCCAGTTGAGAAAGATTGCAAAAATTCTGATGGATCAAAATGGGATCATCAAAACTCAATTCTCAAAGGATAGACAAGCCTGAAGTCTGAATCTATCCACCAACAATTGCAGACAGCAAGTAGAAGAGCAAGACTTTTAATAAGCTACGGGAAATTCATATGTGGCATAAAGATAATTTTTAACTACACAACTTATTTGAAGTACGCTAAAGTGCAATATATTTTCAAAAGGATTAGCGCACACCATAAGATTACCTCAAGAGTTGCAGGTAAGTATACTGGTGAGTAATCCTTGACATCATCAAGTGTATATATCCCTATAATGCGCTCACCAAGCACCTGATTAATTGGACACAAACATGTATAGAAACAACAGAAGAGGAGAATTCAGAAATAAAATGTCATCTGGAGTTCACAAAAGGTCATACCTCAACAGTCAGACGGTGTGGAAAGCAAGGTTCATCCCATGCATAAGGTTGAGATGTGTAAGAGTGAACCATAGTTTCAAAGGTTTCACATCTTTGTTGGTAAACTCGTAGTCTCTACAATAAGCAAAAGAAGGCAATGTCATAATCAAGATCTCATAAAATAACTAGTTGAAGGACCATTACACCACCTACATGAATCTAAAAACACATTCCGTCTGTTTATTGACTGAAGGAATAAGACCAGAATATATTTCATGCATGTCTCTGGGTGTTGTGAGCAAGAGAGATCATACTAAAGCCTAAGCTTCCCCCCTCCCCCTTTTTTTTCTCCTTTTTTAGTGCATGCATGCAAAACACCTCTGTTAGTCGGACCCTTCACTTTGCCCTGCTTCATTTTGCACTAGAACACCTGTGTTCACAGACTCCCATACCCGAGTCTGAGTAACATAGCAAAGAACAGGGTTCTTTAGATATAAAAAAGAAAAGCTCATCCAAACTGCAATTTTTGTCTGTATATTTCAAAAGATCTTATGCAACCCAAGCTTTTAAGGCCAGTATGATAATTCTTCTTGACAACTAAATAGGGCAAAAATAATAAGACAAAACCCAAACAAAAATAAATGTAGAAGTCCATGTCAGTTAATAGCCACAAGTCAAGTAACAGAAAGAATAACGAAAAGGAAAAAGTGAATCCATGCAAACCAATTAGTAAGATTATGAATTTCGCAAAAATAGAGCGACATTAAAAGATTAGAGATCATGAGAAAAAGTCAAAACCTTAGAAAACTTCAAATGCCTTGCTGCTACTACATGATAAAATACCATTCTTGTCAAAGCAAGGATCAAATGATTACCAACCTCCATTGAAAAGTTGTCAATCCTGTAGGGCATAAAGCCTGTATCATCATCAGATAAGAGTATCAAGTTCGTTCCAGAATTTCCATGAGCACTTCCAACTACCTTGTTATCTTCAATGGAAACATCAGCACTCTGCACTTCCGCACGGATCATGTTTACAGAACCAGATGCATAATTCCACATTTTAACCTGAGTATCACCTAGATGCTCTGGTGAGAAGCAACCTGACCACTGCGATCCAGGTTCATGAAAACGAATACAAACAAGAAACTCCCTGGAGAATTTAAGAGCGTGAATATTAAAAAACAGGAAAGCACTATACTTTGTAGGCTTGTATTCTCTATTATAGATTTTTATTTTGCTGGTTTTGTTTGGGTGGATATGTGCGCGACCCAGGAAGGCAAAATGGCATATAATTCGACAGCAGCAATTCTGTTGTGAAGACATTTTCCATTTTAAGTGAAAGCTCCTTCACATTCTACACTTACTATAATTCATTCAACTAAGTTATTCAGCCTCATACCTTTCTTTGCTTCTTGTCTATGAGACCATACATTCTATATGGTGCAGAAGGTAGTTTAATAGCACTAAGAAATAGGCTTGAAACTACTGAATTCTAAGAACATATAGGACTTAGAAACAAAGTTTGAGAACCAAAATATCCAATTCGATGGCTCTCATATCATCAGAAACCAAGATACCTAAAAGTATGAAAACTAATAAAATTTCAATCAGGTATTGCGAATTGGGATTTAGCCTCATGCAAGGGTCAATATCTCCCATTCAAGAAGATAGAATTCTAGTCACATGATACATTTACCTGGCTATATCTATGCACTGAATATGAGAATGTTGTCCAGCTTCAAGAAGAAAAACTCGATCAGTACCCTTTTGCTTGTAAAACAAGGCCCTGCTGCATGCATTGCTGATAACATACCTGGAGAAATAGGGAAATACAGGTATCAAGACGATATGAACTGAGAAGAAGAACAATCTGCTCAAGCTAACCAGATAACAACTAGAAAACACATAGAATCAAATTCATGATGATCCCTGCTCAATACCTTGGCTGAAATGTTATAATCTTTGTCCTTCCAGGAAATGGTGCAGCAACAGCACTAACAGATACCAGGTACCCAGCATTTCCACACAGCTGAGGAACAACTACACTAGTTGAACCAGTTGGTGGAACAAGCAAAAATGGGCTCGACCACAAAGAACTGGGGATTTCTTTGGAAACAGTATCAGGCAGGCATCTACTCAACCTGACCAATATTTCACCAGAACTAGAAATCTGACCAGGAGAGTACATGCAAGGATTGGCCTTCTTACAATCAATTCCCTCAAAATCAGAAGAGTTCATGTCTGGTTTCAACTTTAATTGTCTGTTTGTACCAGACTCATCCTTAGGCATATGAAGTGATGATCTTGAAGCATCCAAGTCAGGCATCTCAGCACACCCATGGCACAATTTTGATGGACCATATGGACTCGAGAATTTGTTATACAGTTTGGAGTCAACAGCTTTCTTGTCAATTTTATTTCTTAATGAACTGAATGCTAGATGAGAATTCCTTGGAGCTTTAAGGAGATCCTGAGTAGAAGAAAGCATACTCAACCCAACTTTGCTGCCAAGCGTTGGGTCGTGCTCATGCAAATCGTAACATGAAGTTACAATGCAACTATTGCCCTTGAGCTCATTGACAGAGTTTGATAAAATAAGAGGAAAACCAATGCAATTATATATCAAGAATGGAACAGAAATGCATATTTCACGAGCCCCTGAGAATGCATCCATTATTTTCTCCATGGTGACATACAAAGGACCTATAACCATAAATAATATACTCAAGGAATTAGGTTTTGAGAAGACAAACAAAAATATTTTAATCCTTCTACAAAAAGAAGATAAAATTACCGTCAAGTGGCTCAGAATCAAAAGCAATAGTTTCAGATAGAGAGAACTTGGTTCCACTGAACTTAGCCATTGCACTAAATGTTTCAGCACGTGGAAATTTGAGGACTGAAGGTCTAAAGCGCTCAATGCTACAAGTTATTGTCAGGTCATTTGAGGAATCGATGTGAAAGAAAGAAGTTTCAACCTGAAAAAGCACAAATAAATTTTTCAAAACACCAGCAAATGAAGAAGTTCAGCTTATGGAACACTAGGAAACCTACAAGTTATGCTAAAGACCTTGGAAAGTGCTGCACTACGTGTAATACCACCATTATCGATGAGCACTGAAACTGTCACTGGAAGATAATTTTTGAACACTAATGGGCTAGTTAAGATCACCAGATGCATCAATCGTTTTTTTGACATCTGCAAGTCATTTGATTCTTTCCTGTAGCTTTTATTGGAGGTTTTGGCACTATCCTCACAAGGGAAACTTCTCTTCAGTCCATTGACTGCAGGCAAGGACCTATTATCAACTGATATGCAGCAGCGGAAAGGAGCACTGCTAGGATGAGATGGATAGCACATAAAGGAACGCAGAAGATTAGTCCTACTCTCGTTCAAAACTAAATTTGAGACGTTATAAGCCTCACTCCAAAGGTAAGTATCGCCAAGAGGGCGCCATCTCATTCGACCTGCTTCAGCCAAATGCAAAGGCAGAGGAAACTCCTTCCCTGGATATATAGGATCTAGAATCTGGAAAAAGAAATTATTGCAAAGCTCAATGGCACAAATTCAGTAGGACTAATAATGGAGAAAAAATAATACTTTCCTTCCAATCTCAATACCTTTGGAGACACACCAAATGGAATATCAAAACGCACTTCAAGAGGCACAGAAGTTGCATTTTTTAGTAGAACCTGAAAAACAAAATTGGAAACACTTGGGCCTGCTGCTGAAAAACAATAATAATGCACAAGAAGTATGTCTAGGATTTGGGCATACTGTTGAATATACTCGCAGCAACTTCGAGTAGCGCTGGACTGATACATCAACAACCACAGGAATGACAAAGCCACTCTTTGTCTCTGTCCTACCATCCCCTTGTGCCTTTTTACATCCTGTTGAATTATCCACACCATCAACAATTCCAGATCTAGTATTTGGCTTGGAAAAGTCCGCCTCAAAGTATCTAAGACCTACAAGATCCATTGAAATTGGAGGAGAAGGTATTGATGTGCCCTCTAGTTGTATAATAATAAAACTGTGAGCTGCCTCAACTATTTGCTTGCTATAGTGTCTTTCAGATGATTGAACAAGTCTATCATGGAAAAGCTGCTTCTTTGGAGTTTCATCAACATATATTGGAACTGAAGAACCAGCTTGCAGTATATATCCACCTTTTGAGGGCAATGCATTCTCATATTCAACAAGCTCCCCTTCACAAATATGAAAAACCAAGGGCAAGGAAGTTAAATTTTGAAGTATATACGGAGCATATCTTCTGGTATCTAGATTCTCCTTTATCTGAGACTTAAAGAATCTTGGACTAGTTGATCGAGTAGTTATTTCTGGCAGCTCCCAGACATCCTTCATCATATCTGTCGTCCGGTAAATAACCTTAAGAAGCAAGAGTAAGATACATAAATAATGACTCAAATATGATCTAAAAATGTACAAGGCCTATAAAAGGTGCCAAACCAAGTATTGCATTCAACAGAACCTGATTTCAACAAACAGCAAGTTTTAAGGCTAATGAACTGGTTGACATCATGAAAAGCTTAGCTTCTTTTTTTGTTTATTTAGATCTATTAACCCATCAACTGATTATGAGATAATACAGCTTGAAACTTCTTACAAGCTTACAGCACGAAATAAATACAACAATGCAATCGATGGTAAGACTAATACTCTCCTTATTACATAATCCTCTTTTATTAAGGGACTCATCCTCTAACATATCGCGCTGTTAATAAGGGAAAGTACCTTCTGGCGTCACGGTATCTACCTTAATAAATTTTGACTTCTATGCAAAACAATAAATGCCCAGAGACTTAAAGCAAGCAACACAATTACTCATCACCACCTGTATAATAATACAATCACCAATACAACAAAATACTTTACATGTTTAGATCAATTATGTTGAAGTTGCATAAATATTATCATTAAGCTGTACAGAGTGAGCACACCCCAAATGCAATCAAAATTTGAATTTTAGAAACCTGCACAAACATCAGTTCTCTAAGGAACTAGTCCTATTGCACTTGGGTATGTAAATACTCTACTTTTCAGTTTTGATTACAATATGGTGACTAAAGAACATAGGACCCCTATGAAGACAAGGTCCTCGATGAACACATTTTCTTTTTTGTTTTGGCCCCGACAGACAATTTTTGCAGGTTGGTCACATCAATTAGGTCATGGATCTTCTGGTTAAATACATAAATAGTAGAGAAAGAATGTAATGTACCCAAAATGTAATCAAATGTAATATTAGCCCACTGTACTTCAAGATTTTAATAAGAACACACAAATATGTTTCTGATCATAATTTGTGCAGAATTCAGTAAATGTTTTTAAAGTTGTGGATACTGTAATCCAGTGTCTGATCAAGTCATGACGCTATAAAGAAGGATTAGCAAAACATTCAACATAGAATGCACTACAAGGATGCTTTTGATGTGCAGGTTGACATATTAGTGAACCTGAAAGAGAGTAAAGGGGTTTTCCAGGCAATATGTAAGGCAGACGTGAATCTAGCTGGAGTTCATGATGGTTGAGGGATATAGACCTAAACAGAATAGCAGAAGGTCAAACATCTCAAATTACTCTTCAGAAATCCTGTTACAAGCCCACGGCCAGTTTTTACAAGAAAATTCTATTTTGACATTCATGCAAGAAAAGTTGTCTCATTTCCAACCATGCAAGGACTAGATAAACACGAGCACGTAAATGATATTTTCCTTTATTTATTTGGGTTTTTTTTGACACTTCATCATCAAGAATCAGCCATTTTAACTGCCTTCAACTGTTGAACAGGCATTCATGGTATTGCAATGAATCTTTTTTACTGAACCATTGTATTAATCCCAAGTCTGCTAAGGGTCTAACTGGGAACAGCATCTATCTAGCTCATTCCTACAGAAACTGCCTCTTCTTCTATGTTGTCCAATGGGGATAGACCCAAAAAAACACTCACCTACATCACAAAGAACTGGAAAACAGAAAGAAATTTCCTGGATATACAGAGAAAAGGGAAATCTATGAAGCATTGGTGGGGAAACAGCAAAGGGGAATATCTTTCAGAAGGAAAAACACTTGGTGTTCAATATTACTGGCTCAGATCCCAAAGTAGGCGGGTTAATTCTCCAAATATCATAAACGCAAGACAACCAACAACTTGAAGAAAGACCCATTGGTCAAGCAACCATATTTGACAAACAAATTCAGTAAGTGAACCATGTTAACTTGACCATACTACTCAAGCATTTTTTAAGTACAAATCTTTTATATACCTCAATCAGAGATTCAGTAAGATTTAAGTTAAGCTGGGTTGTTGATTTAAGATGTGCATGGGTCATCATTGCACCGTCCAGGAGAGAACTATTATCATGCTTTCTGGATATGCTTAACTGAAATTTCCAGGGCTCTACAAAGGGCTCCCACAAGACCTGCATGCAGATAAAATATCATCATTTAGAGAGCCAAGATGATGAAATCAGCACCCCATGCTGCCAGATCATGTGTTTTATGCTGATGTACCTCATCAATATTGTTGTAGTTTGCTTGAAGATCGCCCTCAATTGCTCCATCCAATTCAGTTTGTGTTATGTTACAATTAAAGAGCAGGTTTCTCATCAGAATCTCAACCAAAGGCCCACATGAACTCCACTACATGGAAAGAGAAATAAATAGTGAATACAGCTCTGTAACACGAAAATAGCCTAGCATACCAGAGACAACTAAGTTTTAAATTATCTTCCCATCACAGTGGATGATCAAAGGCTTCTAAACAAGCATGCTGTATCTAACATGCCACAGGCCACAACAGGACTTCAAAGTTCATGTATGATGCCAGAACATTATGATAATATAAAAGCTGATTATCTCCAAAGGTAATTCACACAAGTATTTTTCCACAACATAATATTTACCTTAGCATCAGTTAAAAGAATGGAGACTTTTTTTAGTTGTGCACTAAATATAATACCGTTGAACATGAGTTGAGAAGGCCCAGATTCTGGAATTTCAAACAACATATAGCGGAACAAGCAACACGTATCATTTGAAAGCCATATGTCAAGACTGTCACAATAGATATCCATGTTTACTTGTGCATCCTCGATCTGGTGATTTAAAACTTCAGATCCCAGATTGACCTGAAACACTTCAAAAAGCGACCAGGATCTTGGAATATTGTCCTTACATAGCACCAGCATCCCACCCACTTTTTCCAATTTGACAGTCAGGATCACATTCTTGCCACTGCTAACCATCTCACTGCAACTACTTTGAAAGGCAAAAGCAAGAAATACATGCTGATTTCCAAGTATAATGTCAAAGGGCAATTGGTTTTGGGTTTGGGGTTCTTCAAGTATGCTAAATATTTCTCGATTGACTTGAACAGGAATATAAGTAGTTATGCTAACTCCTTCCAACTTTACAGCAGAAAAACCAGCTTCATTCCTTGGGTTTTCTGATGATAAAGACCTTGACAAAGTAGGAGATTGTACAGTAATTGCCAAATTTTCAATGGCATGGTAATTTTTTGGTAATGCATCTACGGTAGACATTCTGGAAGTTTGTGGTTGGTAGTCACCAAGTAATACAAAGATCTGTCTCCAGTCAAACATGTGCATCCAAACATCTATACAAGGAAGAGACACAAGAACCTTATTTTGTCCCTGATCTGACACTGAAAGAGTCATTCTAGGAAATAACAAGCTAGAGCTGGAAGACGGGCACTCCACGAGCATAACAGAATTCAGAGATGAAAAGAAAGTGAGATAAGATAATGAAACATTGACAGAATAGGGTTTGCCATCCACTATTGAGGCAGAGCACATGAGTTGCATTTCAACTTCTGCTACAAGCTCAGAAACAGTTGATTCACTTTTTGGAGAACACAACCTAATGGACAGTGACCTCATGCAGAGCCTAATATCTGTGGAGGTAACAGCTGAATCTTCAAGCAAGGCCGCAGTGCCATCTTCCATTTGCCTTTTCAACTCAAGGAACTCTAAAACATCATATTTGAATAATTTTGATTGTTTGTCCACCAAGGAAAACTGATTTATGATATCCACCAGTGCCCTGAAGCCACTAACTGTCCATTTTCCTGTAAACATGTATAACATGCACAAAGCTTCAAGAAAGTGAAAGGCAGAAGGGATGCAAAAATATACAAAAGAAAGTAAGGCAGCCAAGTTTGTCCATACCTCCAGCAACAAGCTGACACTTGATAATCTTTGACATTACACAAATTGGATAGGAAGAGGGAACATTACACGACTCTAACTGGAAGGGGACTCTCACCCAAACATCAGCATCGAATGATGAAATTAAAGTAACATTCCGGCATCCAGGACTCAGATCAAAACTTGAGGAATCAAATAGGTCATCCTTCATCAGCATTAGCGACAGAGATAAATCACGTCCAAACAAGTTTAAACAATGATTTCTGTTGGAAATTTTGTCATCCACGACCAAACATTCAAAAGGAATTTCCTTCAGCACAAATTTAAAATCACTGTTTTCAATAAAACAACCAAGCAACTGTTGTATATCAAGCTTTAGAAACTGAGATCCATCTTGCCTAACAGGTACCAACAAGTCACAGTCTAGTATCTCAAACTTATAAAAGGTGGAGCTGCTCACTTCCAAATCACTACAGTCAGAGTTAACTGAGGTAATGGGATTGTCTTCAGACTTGCAGCTCCATTCAGGCGAGGAAGCATAGCCAATTATCACAGCGAGAAGCTCAGGCGGTAAAGTACAGGACACATGTTGAAGGCCAAAACTCAATTCAATTGAACCACTGGGATCATTCCTTGCACGTACGTTCAAAATTGGAGAAAGATTGGGTAGTAAGGGACCCCAAAGGAAGCCACCAATAGTTTGTGGCCACCAAGATGAAGAAAGAATTAATCCCTCCATAGAACACAGAAAATCAAAACAACCATCACAAACTGAAAGAGATGATTTACAGGTTGCCAAAGATATAGTTCCAACTACGCATGCCGTATCATGAAAGTATAACCTCATGCTGTTGAGGTTAAATTCAGCTTCAAACATTTCATTACTACTGCAGTTTTGCCAAAAAGGGTCTGCACTATGTTTGGGTTTCTTTAACTGGCGGTAAAAGCATGTAGACCCCTCTTTCAAACTGCACCTGTTCCATTGGACTTTCCTGACTCTCAAGTCTAAATATTTCCTCCACCGAGGAGTGGCATAGTTAACCAAAGTCTCAAAAGCAACAATAGGACCAGAATTGCAGATTGTAGTGAAAGGAAAATTTTCCAAGGGAATACTCATGCACTCGGAGGATCCTCCTTCAACAAAGTTAGAAAAACCATACTTTTCAAAATCAAAATGAGGTCTTGAGCAGGAACAATTACCATCCACAACAGAGCTGTCTTGATGAACAACAGAAGTTCCAATTTTCAAAATTCTATCAAAAAATCCAACCAGAAGGCCAATTATGAATGGGTAGCAGTGTATCTCAACGTGACTTAAGCTTACTGAATACTTGTCATAAGCTGACTCCAATCCTTTGTAAGATTCAAAATGCAGCTTCAAACACCCATCGGCACTTGCAGTCTTATCATCAAAGTTCTCATTTTGATTGGTAAGTTTGCAATCCTTCTCAACCTGATCTGAAGATTCAGTAGTCAACTTTCCTCCAGAGGACCAGAGTATATATTTGGTTTCCACATTTTTCTTCGGATAAGCAACGATCTGCAATCCCTTCATGGACATCCAGCAATCCAGGAACTCTTTCAGATTGAAGCTGCAAAAAGCTGTGTGTCACACAACACACTTATATTGAAGGTCAACAGTTTGACCAACTAATTTTGCAATGAAATTTATATTTCAAATGAAGCTGAAAGATACTCTTGTGCAGGGCCTTACAAAATCCATACAAGTATACTTCACACTTTCATATGAACCATAAATTAGATTTTTATACAAGTTAAAACAGCTTCAGATGAACATTCTAGCAAGAATTAAACAGCTTCAAATTTATATTTTTATACAAGTCTTAAACCCTTTTCCCATGGCCCCAGTGGGCTGAACCTTCTAGCAAGAATTAAAACTAAAAACACTACTCTAACAGAAAATTACAAAACTTACAAAGGGAAATCAGTTCTCCCATGTATTCATGCATCATTAGCTATTGTCGTAGTTTCTGATACCAAATACAAAAAGAAGAAGAAGATTACTCAGGACCATCCTACAGGGATATAGTCATCCAATCAACACATATTTTTGAGCCTTTTGAAAAGGGATTAGCGGACAACCATGGTCATAATACACTCCATAAGAAATTGATGGTAGCCTCTTCCAGCTTTTGAGAGAGTCTAACAGTACAGACCATGAAAATAGTTCTTTGCCAGTTATAGCTAACTAGTTATGAAGATCTGTCTTAAGAAAAATTATTTCTTGGTAATTTTCCTTGCAAGCATCATATGAATCTACAATAAACCTTGCTCAAAGAATCTACTTAAAATTGAGCAACATTTAAACTCCCCAACATGTTTTGCTTATGTCTTGTCGCTAGTTGCTTTAATTGACCCAGAGATGTAGTTGGTAAGTATATGCATTGCATAGACATGCAATGATTCCTGTATCTAAAAGTAACGCATGTAGCAAAAGAGAAATATAAAGTACACTGCTAATCTGTGACATATCAATCCAGATCATAAAGCAACAACTGAAAGGAACTTACCACATTAAAATTCCATCCAACAATTGATGATAGTGCCATTATTTACTTTGAATGTGCAAAATAAAAATTTAATGCAAGGACCATACCTAACATCTAAACTCCAAGGGCAAAGCAGGAGAACATAGCCATTTTCCACTTCATTTTCAAGGTCAACTTTGAAATTAACAAACTCCAAACTTGCACTAACAGAAAACCAGAAAACTTCAGAAGTCCCAAGTCCATTTGAGTTGTTATGAACCTCATTTCCATTATTCAGGTCTGCACACTCTGATTTGCAGTGCAGCTCATTAAAATTTCCAATTAAACCCAAAATGCTACAATATATAGATGGCGAAAAGTGGAAAAGAATTGATGGAATGTGGATGTAGACCTGAAACACAAAGAACAAAAAAAGTGAATATATCAACATATGTCACCATATGCAATCATTGATGAAGGGAAAAAAATCCCGTATTTAAGAAGAGCTCACACAATCTAGTAGTTTTTTTTTTCCTTCTTAAGGTTATATTAAGTACAGGTCTTCAAAGACGATGCTTTCTGGCCTGCTACAAGTCATTGTTATTAGACTTGTAAAATAATACAACAAAGACCTTGATTTTATTTTAGCCAAAGGATATGAAGGATGACCCTCAATCAGCAAATAGGAAGAGATAAGTTGGAAGATGCCAGAATTACAAGATATAAAGGCAGACCTCAAGCATAGTGCAGAAAAACTTGGGAGAGTCAACAAATCAAATGATTAACCTATTTGCTGACATGCTTGCTTACAGAAAGCCACGGAAAGGAAAATAAACCTAGAAAAGTTCCAAGCTCAATTGAAAAACTCCCATCTCTCTCCCCCTCTCTAACATCATTCTTGTGGCACTCTCCATTCTCTTCATTTTGAGAGCACGAAGTTTGGATGAAAGGGAAAATGAGTATAGTTGAAGATGAAGGCTTTTCATAGATACTTTGGTTTTACATATAAGACGTGGCAGGGCTACCATACACCTCTCATTAAGTCTGCAAACAAAGTGAGCAGCTCATTAACTCAACAGTCCACAGCTTGAATCCAATCAAAAATTGTCGAGCTCGAGCTGCTTGAACAACTGAGGGACACTTTGAATTGGGTTTTTAAGGGTGTTTTTAAACATTTTAATGTGAAGAAGTTTTAAAATAACTTTTTGGATGCAGAAAAAGTTTGAAAAGACCTTCCAGATGTGTGTTTTTTTGGGGTGTTTTTAAAGGTGTTCTTCGACCTCACCTACCTCCACCCCCGTCACCTCTACCCATCTCTTCCCTTTTACCCTCATCTCCCCACTCCTTTTCCCACCCCCTACTCTCTCCTTCCTCCTCCCTCCCCCTCCCTCCTTCCTCTCTTCACCCTTTCCTCCTCCCCTTCGCCTTCCCTCTTTCCGGCGGACAGGGGAAGGGAGGGTGCGGAAGTGGGTGTTGGGGGAGCACAGGTGGTGGACGAGAAAGAGGGGATATTGTGGTGTTGGTGTGTGTTTTATGGGTTACTTTTTGGTGTGTTTTTGGGAGGTTAATGTAGATTTTGTTGGGAAAAAACATGAGGTTTTTTTTTTAAAAAAAAAAAAAAAAAAACTCCTAATCTAAGCAGAGCCTAAAATAGTCAAATTCGAACCCTCTAATCCTCGGCTCATGAGCTCTTCAAGCTTTATTAGTTTCTTTATTTCCTTGGTTAGTGAATAACTTATGTTAAATTTACAAGTTGAGCTCGATCTGCCAAAAACTTATGTGCAGCTTGAGACCCCGCTCATCATTGGATACTTGATGGTAGGACGGCCATGATACCAAACAGGAAATTTGTCAAACTGAAACCAACCAGAACCAGAACCTGGACTGGAACCCTAGCTGAAAGTTTTGGACTTGGTTTATTAAACATGGACCTGGAGCAGTTCTGGTCCTGTTCGAACCATCCATTTGGGAAAAAATTAATAATAAAAGATAGAGAGATAGACCAAGTTAACTCTTTTCAGACAATGGTGAAATATTTTTTCATATAAGCTGTATCAGCTTGTTTTTCCTTGTTTACTAATTATAGCATGAAAGCTTCCTTTTTCCCCCCTAAATTCATTAACTTCAGTTTTTTGCAAATTCACTATCATATATTTTTAGAATCGATCTATAACCATTAGTGACTAAATGTAATTTGCAGGACCAGAACTGAAGGTTTCAGAATCATAACAATAACCATCCCTACAAGGGCCAGTTCAGCTCCTATGATACCCCATCCCACATCAGAAATGTAAAGTGCTATAGACCAATACTTAAGTAGAGGCTCAGCACTCAATTCCAACATGGGCTATCCGTTTTGGGCTAGCAAGGATGGAGCCCAAATAGTTGGACTTGGCTATTGAGACTCTGGTCGCACCTTGGGCCTACGGGCCCGGGCTTGACATTATGGTATCAGGGCGAATCTCCTGTGGTCTTTGCAGAGGGTGAGACTAGGCTAGTGGTATTGGGCCGGACTACACAAGGGAGTGAAGGAACTAAGTGCTACGTTGACCTTAGGGCAGGAGCCACCTCTAGAGCCCGGACGAGCCACCTCTAGAATCTAACACAACTGAGCTGACAATCTAGAAGGACGCAAAGTCTAAAAAGGATGGGTGAATGTAATACCCCGTTCCGCATCGAAAATGTACAGTGCTATAGACCAATACTTAAGTGGAGGCTGAGCACTCAAGTACAACTTGGAATATCCATTTTGGGCTAGCGAGGATGGAAACCCAAATAGTTGGACTTGGCTGATGAAACTCTGGTCGCGTCTTGGGCCTGTGGGCCCGGGGCGTGACAATTCTGCCTTTCAAACAAACTGGAACTGGTGGCTTTGGAACCCTGGCCATGCCTGTGTGATGGAGATCCAGCTCATGTTCACGTTTGGGGAAAAAACCACTCTGCTCGGCATGATTGCTGCCCTACCAATCACAAACCATCCTCCCCCCTCTCCCAGCACAGCCTTCAGTATAAAGAATAGTTGTTTCATCTTGCTTTTTAATGAGGGCTTAAAGGCATGAGCCCTAAGTAAATGCCTCAAATTGGTTGGATAATATAATATGCAAGTGTGAAACTTGTTGCCTTATGTAACAAGATATGGTAAAAACATCAAGGATAGGAAATTCTACGAAGCCTACTAATGTGACAATTAATAGACAAAACAGAGCGGAATAATTGCCCATGATGCCTTTAGAGAAAAGCAGTTCTAAGAAAATCTCTGCATTAGCAAAGCCAATAATGTGAAATAGAAAAAGCGAGACATACTTACATCTAATCTTTTCAATATTGCCTCATCTGGAATAATGCAAGATTCTAAGTTCGCTGAAAAGTTCAATTTCTCGAAAATTGGGATGGCTTCAGTTGAACAAGGGATTGACACTAGAACCTGAAAGTCACAATTTCAAAATTACAGCCTTGAAACAGCTTTAAGTTCTATAGTATGAACATAGACGTGAAACTACTATAAATTTCATTTTCAAACCATCAGCAGAACTGAAGAGTATGGAATCCTGACCTCAAAATTGCTAAAGTTAAGCTGATAGTGATCATAGAAATCATCAAGTTGGAAACCCATAGGGAAGAAATCACCGGAACTGGAGCTCAAGTAGTCACTCAGATGACGGTGAGAATGACCTTGCAGATCAGAAGCCAAAGAACCCCTCTTAAAATTAGATTTAAATGTGAAATCTCCAAGTTCTACTACCTGCCAATTGTTAAGTTTGAGATTAGTGCAAAATTCTGAAATTGTGATATGTACAAATAAAGATGCCAGCCTGAAGGCTTCAAGCATATATAAGAAAACTCATAGCATTTCCTAACCAACAAGCTGAAACAACGGAAGTGTCGTAGATCAAAATAGCAACATGGTGCCATGGTTTTTTTGTCAGATTGATGAATCTAAAACTTTACTATATGTTTGTCTAGCTACTGGTGATTTCAACATTTTGATTGTTTTGGGCTTGCTGCATTCCTATGTTAATATTGTCAGCATATTAGCAACAGATTCTTCCTTGTAGCAATTGTCTCAAGATTCCTTCTCTATGCAATTTATAGTTGATATTCTAGTTGAGCCTTTTATACCTTAAATTGAAATTTATGTTGCATAGAGAGAAGGGCTATGACTAAGCCAGAGCTCAAAGTAACTTAACCAGTACATCTATTTCGACTGTAACATGACATATACTATGGAGTTGAGCATCATTTCACATCTAGGGTTCAGCATGAAAGCAGACCAACCTCAAACGACTTGTTAACACTTAAATGGTCAAATGCAGGTGCTTTCACCCATGCCAACCACACATTTAGAAAGTATCTATAGTTGGTAGGTTGTGGAGATTTTAGTACAGAACCGTCTCTCCAAGGGAGGTTAGGATTAAAACCAGTTCACTGACTCCACAGTTTTGTTTAAAACTGAGCTTTAACATCTCAAGGACAAAGCCAACTACCACAAACTGCCTCATTTTAATTAAACTCGAGTGTCCAATGCAGTCCAAGTCAATTCTCTGATGAAGCAGAATAATTGTCCAAGTCAATTTATAATTAATTAGTTCCTACCCTGGTGAAGCAGCCCCAAGCTTGTTGGACACATATTCGCATCTTTGGAAGCCTAAGAATAAAATTAAAGGCTCATTGGCAAACAAGAAGAAATTTTGGTCTAAAGGAGTTTGTCCATGGTGATTCTTGGAGTCTGTGATAGTCATATTCAATTCTCTGTATTTATTACTTTAGTATATTCTGTTCTTTCGGAGAATTCTAGAATTTGAGTCTTTATTATGTTCGGTGAGTAATTGGAGTCCTTTGTTAGAAGGTAACTTCCTGCAGGAATTAGAGTTCTACAGCTAGTTAAATTTTTTATTTAAAATACAGTTTTGGGAGAAGTTTTAGGAAGTTTTTTAGTTATAAATACTTGTGTATCTACATTACTTCGAGAATTGATGAACAAAATTTGAGTTTTAGGTGACTAGTTGCTTTTCCTTCTTCTTACCCTCTTTTCTTCTTTTCTTCCCACTATACTGTTCACGGGTACCGTTCACAGCCCTACGCAGGCCACAATTTCTCATTCTTCCACTAGTGCTAGTAAGGCAAGATCTAACCCATCTTGTACTACATCATACCCATTTCACAGGAATATCCATTTCTTTTTGCCATTTCATGTTCAGTTCTCAGCACATCTATATTGATAAATAATCATAAGAACATAGCAGCAGAAAAGTCTCAGAGTATAGAAAATTTAGGAATCTACACAAGTTTAACTCCTATAAGGTTTTTAGACTTCATGCACAGCCCAACGAGGTAGATAATACGTCTTTTGGCTATGCATGTTAAAAGAACATCATCTCAGAGTATGTCTAGCATACATGGTTTTTGCCGAAGGAATAATAAATATATGTAATTCTTCAAACTTCCAATTTATTATTCTTTATTTTCACATCAACTATGGGATTTGAAATTTCTCAGGATTCTGACAACTCTCATAGACAGGACTTCAAAATCCATAATAATGGTGTAATTCAAAATTCACATTATTGTCAATTGGTTGATAACCCGTTCTTCAATGTTTCTTCACAAAATCACATTAAAATAGAACCACCAAAATCTCCAGAAATACCAACTGCCTACATTTTCTTAATCTAGACATTCCCAAACCAGCCAAACAAACACAAACATATTAGATAAAACTGTGGTAGATGAGAATCATAATACATCTAACACGAACATGCTCAGATTTGAAACAAACAACACTTTTAAATGTGAAGTCTAGACAACATAATTATCAAACCAGAGACTGGAAGTACCATGCAAGTTTTCAACTATATTTTTGAGGCCCAACATTTTGCTTATAGGAAAACATTAAGAAGAAGCGTATCAAAATGAAGTAAAAATTAGACTTGAATTGAAGAAAAGTGACAAACATGAGCGTTATCATGCAATTACCATTTTATGCACTTCAACACTGTCCTGTGATGCCAGTGATCAAAATAGAAATTAACGAGTGTTATCATGCAATTACCACTTTGTGCTCTTCAAAGTTTCTGTCCACCCATGGTATCGTAAAAAGAAGATTGGCAAGATTGACATCCCACATTACGCTTTTTCGATTTGATAAAATGCAACTGCAAAAAAAAGGAGAAAAGGTAGAGCAATTCACAAAATTTGTATACATGCTAGCTCAAACCTGTCCAACCACAATAGCAATTTTGACATACATCGAGTTCAATTTTCAAAACTGAAACTAGCTAATTTTTAAAAAAAAATGTTACAAATTATAAAACTGAACTTACTCAATTTTAGACAGGAGTCTCGTGTGGACATTACTGATCTCATTAATTGATGATAGAATCTACATGAAGACAGACAAGTAATTAGTGCATATGAATAACATATATTTGCCAGATCTCTAACCCAAAAAATAAAAATATATTGTGAAATAAATCAGGTGAAGAAAATCATTGCATACCCAAAATTACACGAAGTATTTTGTTCCAAACAGTATAAGGCACCTAGAATAGGTCAACATAGTGGTGTAATTTAATATCACATTTCTTTGAGGAGACAAACTATAGTATAGCGCTTTCTCCACAAAGAAGAAACATTAAGCCATTGTTTAAATAACAGAAGAATTTGTTTCTGGACAGTGTTTATTCAGGAAAGCGAGGTAAAATGAAAAAGGGAAGGTGCATGTTCGGTGAAGTAATGACACGTGAAAGTGACAGTTAGCAGATGATCATCAGTACAATGCCTAGTTATTAAAAAATTTCCTGCAGGGAAAACTAAACATTCAAGATAAGTAATAAAATACACTGTACTTAATTCTATTTATCCCTTTGTTCAGATGGTGCCTAAAGAATGCCAGATCATCTACAAAACCAATAATAGAGTTACATAATGGTAAGCGTACAGCCATGCACTAAACTAAACTATACAGAAAATTTTAGGAAGTATGAAACGAATCTCAGATATCAAATGAAATTGATCACATGGAAACGAATCTTATTTTTTAGAATAACAACAAGAAGTATTACTCATTTGATCACATGGAATAGCCAAATGATATTAATTACATAGAAAATATGCTTTAGTGATAAATTTTGATACTACAATCCGTATCTTATTGCTTGAATACTTACCCTTTCCTGTTGAAATTTGAAATTGCCGAAGATATAAAAGAACTCCAGATTATCCATAAGAAATCTTGTGTCACATTTCCCTTCAATAGGCTGAAGATTGACCTAGACATGGATGTTACAATATATTACAACACAACTAGACAATATCAGAAAGGACGATAATCCAGATGGGGGAAAAATGCAGGAGAATAGGAAACCAGAAGTACCTTCACTGATGAACTAACTTCACAACTGCGAGGCAAAACCTCAACTTGGATACTTACGGATGGTTCAATGTCGAGTTCATTTTCCTTGGTGTTAATCTGAAAAGATTAATGTCAGTGATGAGAAACTGCAAAGCATGCATAAACCAGTAATCTGGTCTGGGAAGGATATTTTTGCTTGAACCAATTAGAATATGTTTTTAAATTACAGGTGCATGAATGTTACCACTGGAAACAAAACTAAGAAGATAGACGCAGCACAACAAGCTTACAGGGAGCACCAGGGAAGGAGGGGAAAATTTAGTCTCCCCACCTCTTTGCCGACAACCTGGCAGTTTCGTGGTCGTATGCAATTACTGAATAATTAAATGTAGTAGTCACATGCTCAAAAACTATGCAAGGTCTCCCATGCAGTCACCCACAAACACAACATTAAGCAAGCTCACAAATGCAAAGAACACAGACACAGAGGAGAGGGATTTGAGACTGGAATGATAAAGATGGAACAATAAGAAGCATGCTGAATTCCTTATGAAACACAGAAGACCCAGCGTATATGGGCAAGGCACAGATATGGGCAAGGAGCAGTTAATTTTGGTGGCACAGCCAAAGCTATGCAAAGGTACATAGGCAAGTTAATACAGCAATACATAGTTGCAGAATGATTATAAAAGAAAAACATAATGTGGTGTGGATTAAGTATAGCTATGAAAGTAGCTAGTCCAGGTAGATTTCACCAGCTGGTTAATTGAACATGAAGAATATGAATCAAGTATAGATAGGATGAACGATCAGGATATCTTGTAAATTGTCCTATATCATGCTACTTACACAATGTCAATCATAGAAGTAATGCCTTCATTTTGCATCAAATGTTAAATAAATTATACTTGAGAAAGTCAGCACCAACCTTTGTCATAAGAATAACTTGATTATTAAATGGATTAAACAACTGGACTGCATTAATTGTAGCAGTGATTCCAGTATATCTTTCCCAAATCTTGCATTCAGTGGAAACACTATCAAGCATCAAATGAGCAATTGCGCGTCCCAATCTCCTAAAAGATGATAGCAACTTACAAGTTATTGTCATTTTTAAAGAAACCAATAAATATTAGCTAACAATAAGACAATGACATTACAATTTATACGTCGTAGCAGAAAGACCAAGTTTCCAAGCATCTGATTTGCCTTATCATACCAGTGATCTACTAAAAACATTTGACCAGTTAAAAGACACCCCGGGGAGGAAGATAAATAATGGCATATTTCATTTGGTGAAGTATAAAACCAAGGAATGGAGGTTCTGAACTATATAGTCCTAAAACTCTTAAGGTGTCAAGTAAACCAGAATTTTATCATGCACGCTATACACGTATTTGCTCGAGGATCACTAGAGACTCTTTTAAAGGAATTAAAATTTGGAGCTCCGTAAGCAACTTTTGGTACATGGACATACAAAACAAGATAAGGTATAAATGTTTCTCATAGTCATATTCATTCTTAATACAAGAGAAAAAACATACACGCTCTGCAGAGTAAAAGTAAATTGATGAATGTTAAACTTGATTGAAGATAAGAAGATTTCATCAGCTTTGGCAGCATCTTCATTCATTGATGGAGCAGGACGGAACTTCGTTGCCTCATAGATATCCTGTAATAACAAATATCAATAACCTTACAGACTACAACTATTGACAGGAATACAGCATTGCAGTCACATTCATATTTCATAAGTACAATAATAAGTGCCAAGTTTCCTGATAGCTGCTCCTACCTTGATTGCATCATCCGAAATAACACCAGAAAACTGACTAGAATCATCTGTTCCACCAGCCCCTAGCATGCCGCGTGATAGCCAGTTCAACCATCCACGAGGTTTGTTTGAAGGACGCTCATCTTCCAAAGACATGTCCAAGTTGGCACCATTACTTCCGCGGCTAGACAATGAAGTCGCGAGTAAATCCTAGAAAATTACCAACATAACCCAAGAAAATAAGCAAGGGCATCCCAAAATCATTCAACATGCTAAAAGTGACAGGTGTCAAAACGATATATGTCCACAATGAGCTAAAGTTTAACGAAACAAATTCACCACAGGGCTATGGCATGTAGAGAATGATGTTTCAGTCAACACTCCAAAGCTAGAATAACCACAATATGTACCTTTATCTCACGCTCCGCAGCAGACCTATAACTTAATATGTCGTCTATATCACATAGTCTCTCCATTTCCTCCAACTCGCAAAGAACATCTTCCTCGATTGCCTGATTAAGGCCAAGGCAAGCATGTAACAACATGGATATTAGAAGTCATTGACAAGAGAAATAAAAGATTAACATAAGCTGTACATTTCTAAAGATAAAGCAAAAGCAAATGGAAAAAGAAAACTGAGTCAACAAGGACAAAACAGACATTCATCTTGTTTGGATAAGATATGTAAAAAATAAAAATAAAAAGACAGTACATTGTTAGGGATGAGGACAGAAAGGAAAGGAAAGGAATCAAATACCAAACTTTGATTGAAATTAGGGTAATTTAGGTACTACACTAAATTCATAAAAATGGTTTCCTTCCGCCCCATTTCCATGTTTGTGCTGATTTTAGGATGAAAATAAAACTTTAGTAACTTACTCTATCCCTTCCTTTCCCCCTCCCTCAAAACAATCCAAACACAAAAAACTTTTACGCATCCATTTCCTGTCCTGTCCTGTCCTGTCCTGTCCTTTTCCTCCTATTCATTCAGAACAAAGAGCACCTAATGTTATTTATTCTACCTCCCAAATAGGCTACTTGTATTCCAACACACCAAATTAATTAAGAAATTCCAGCAACTATTAAGTTCACTGTTTCCTCGGCTTTGTGTAGACCAGAATATTCTTCCCAAGTTTAAAAGTGTTACAAAATTAAATATAGGAATTTATTATGAATAGCTTGATTATTGGGATAGCGTAATTATAGGAATAGCTTGATTATAGGGATAGCTTAATTATAGGACTCTATCTGATTGATAGTTAACTTTCCTAACATAAAGGTGTTAGTGCATGTATATATATATAACATTTTCTCTCTATGAAGGAGTGAAATATATTCCATCCAAAACTTCGTTAACATGGTATCAGAGCCCTACCATCAAGGTTAGGGTCTCTGTCCGCTGCCAGAAAATTCATTAGTCATCATTCGGTTCATCTAGTTCTGTATAGGACACATCTGTGTTCTATTCTTCACTCTTGTTTTAAAGAGTTCAGATCAGTCCTTTTTTTGTTTTTTTTTTCTATTAATTCTGAACCCATGGCAGAAACGAAATCTGTCGTTACGTCTGATGTGGTTCCCGTGATGTCTAAGATCACGGACCACAAACTCAACAATTCTAACTACCTTGATTGAAGTAAAACGGTTCGTCTTTATCTGCGAAGCATTGATAAAGACAATCATCTGACTGATGATCCTCCAAAGGATGGTTCAAGACGGACATGGCTAAGGGAAGACGCTAGATTGTTCCTGCAAATACGGAATTCTATTGACAATGAGGTAATTAGCTTAATTAATCACTGTGAATTTGTTAAGAAGTTAATGGAGTATTTAGAATTTTTGTATTCTGGTAAAGGGAACATTTCTCGCATATATGAGGTGTGTCAAGCCTTTTATCTTGCAGAGAAACAAAATAAGTCCATCATGACTTATTTTATGGATTTTAAGAAAAATTATGAGGAGCTTAATCTGTTATTATTGTTTAGTTCTGATGTGAAAGTTCAGCAAATTCAACGGGAACAGATGGCAATTATGAGTTTTTTGGCTGGTCTTTCACTTGAATTTGAAGCTGCTAAATCTCATATTCTTTCGAGTCCTGAGATTTCATCCTTGCAAGATATGTTTAGTAGGGTACTTCGCACAGAGAATTCCCAGTCTGTTCAGTCCAGCAATGCTCTTGTTGGTCAAACTAACAAATATGAATTTGGAAAACAGCAATACAAAGGTGGTGGTAAAGGAATTGACACGCGGGGACAGAATGCAGAAGTGATTGTGTGTCACTATTGTCATAAGCCGGGTCATATGAAGCGTGATTATAAGAAATTGCAGTACAGGAACCAGAGAACTCAATTCGCACATATTGCTTCACCCAATGATGCGATTAACCATGAAAAGTCTGTTACGATCTCTGCAGATGAATTTGCTAAATTTTCTCAGTATCAAGCGTCATTAAAGTCTTCATTTACCCCCGTAACTGCCATCGCTAAGTCAGGTAAACCAAACACATGCCTTTGTGTCCTCCTCGTCCTCCAAATGGGTAATTGATTCTGGTGCCACAGATCATATGACAGGTAATTCTAGTCTATTTTCTACCTTTCAGCCACACACATCTGCACCTACAATTACTTTAGCTGATGGATCAAAATCTCGTGTTCTTGGATCCGGCTCAGTTAACCCCACTCCATTAATCTCATTGTCATCTGTCTTAAGTTTGTCTGAGTTGTCTTTTAATCTAATTTCTATGAGTAAACTTACTCGTGCCCTCAATTGTTCTGCCCAATTCTTTCCTAACTATTGCTTGTTTCAAGATCTTACGACGAAGCAGATTATTGGTAAAGGGCATGAATCTGGAGGTCTTTACGTCCTTGACACACAGATACCAAAGTCTATAGCTTGTTCTGGAATTGTAACTCCATTTGAAGCACATTGTAGGCTGGGTCATCCTTCTCTCCCGTTGTTAAAGACACTTTGTCCACAATTTCAGACTTTGTCTTCATTAGATTGTGAGTCTTGTCAGTTTGCCAAACATCATCGTGTTAATCTAAGTCCTAGAGTCAATAAACAAGCGGATGCTCCTTTTGCATTAGTTCATTCAGATATCTGGAGACCTAGTCCAGTCATTTCTAAAACTGGATTCAAGTATTTTGTTACTTTTGTCGATGACCATTCTCGTATGATTTTGTTATATTTAATGAAAAATCGGTCAGAGTCGTTTTCTCATTTTTGTGCTTTTTGTGCTGAGGTTAAAACTCAATTTAAGCGTTCTGTACAAATATTGCGAAATGACAATGCCAAAGAATATTTATTCGCACCTTTACAATCTTATATGGTGCAAAATGGCATTATTCATCAAACCTCTTATGTGGATACACCATCCCAAAACGGGGTCGCAGAACGAAGGAATATACATTTGCTCGAAACTGCAAGAGCCTTATCATTTCAAATGCATGTTCCTAAACATTTCTGGGCTGATGCAGTGTCCACAGCTTGCTTTCTAATCAATCGTCTGCCTTCATCTGTTCTGAATGGTGAGACTCCTTATAATACTCTTTTTTCAAATAGACCTTTGTTTTCCATCGAACCTAAAATCTTTGGGTGTACATGTTTTGTTCGCGACTCTCGTCCCCAAGTCACTAAATTAGACCCCAAATCATTGAAATGTATTTTTCTTGGTTATTCCCGTGTCCAAAAAGGATATAGATGTTATTGTTCTAGTCTCGGCATGTACATTGTGTCAGTTGATGTTAGTTTTCGTGAAAATACACATTTTACCCCCTCCTCATCTCATTCATGTCAGGAGGAGGATGATGATTTGTTAATCTATACTGGCACATCTTCAAGTTCTTCCTCTGCTAAACCTCCAATTACTCGGTATATTCTCGACGACAAAGCCTCCTGATGCATGTCCTGAACCAGTTCCTTCATTACCAGATCCTGTCTCAAGTGATGATCTTCCTACTGCTCTTCGCAAAGGTAAGCGTCAATGCACTTATCCTGTGTCTTCGTGTGTATCTCATAATCATTTACCCACCTCTTCTTGTTCTTTTATTGCATCTATTGATTCTATCTCCGTTCCTAAAACTGTTCATGAAGCCCTATCCCATCCCGGATGACGCAATGCTATGATAGAGGAGATGAATACTCTAGATGGTAATGATACTTGGAACTTAGTAAATTTACCTGCAGGGAAGAAGGCTATTGGGAGTAAGTGGGTTTTTGCAGTTAAATTCAATCCTGATGGGTCGGTTGCTCGGTTGAAAGCTTGCCTTGTTGCCAAAGGCTATGCCCAAATCTATGGAGAGGATTATTCTGACACATTTTCCCCTGTTGCTAAGTTAACATCTGTCAGGTTATTCATTTCTATGGCAGCCACTCATAATTGGCCTTTGCATCAACTAGATTATTCTGACACATTTTCCCCTGTTGCTAAGTTAACATCTGTCAGGTTATTCCTTTCTATGGCAGCCACTCATAATCGAAATAGATTGTCATTTTGTTCGTGAGAAAATACAGCAGGGTTTGATTTCTACAGGATTTGTAAGGACTGGAGAACAATTGGGAGATCTCTTTACGAAGACTCTACATGGGGTTCGAGTTGATTACCTTTGTAACAAGCTGGGCATGAGCAACATCTATGCTCCAGCTTGAAGGGGAGTGTTACAGAATTAAATATAGGAATTTATTTTGAATAGCTTGATTATTGGGATAGTGTAATTGTAGGAATAGCTTGATTATAGGGATAGCTTAATTATAGGACTCTAACTGATTGACAGTTAACTTTCCTAACATAGAGGTGTTAGTGCATGTATATATATGTAACATTTTCTCTCAATGAAGGAGTGAAATATATTCCATCCAAAACTTCGTTAACAAAAAGCATTGACCAAAAGTTCCAAAAAGTTGTCTTCTTTTTCAACTGAGATACCACAATGCCAATGTTGTTTCTGAAATGTCTATGAATGTCAATGTCCATTATTTGAAAAGCTGACCTGGAATTCTTCTCAAACTTGCTTTATCTCTTAGTGCACAAAGAATTCTTGTCGATTTTCCTTTGTTAACAAAGTCATCCTGTGTCACGTGCTTGGTCTCCTCAGCAAAAACAATGCATCATTTAGTTCAGAGTTTTTTAAAATTCTTTCCTCGTAGAATTCTTAAAACTTCTTAACCTTTTTTTTTTCTACTTTGCCAACCTTATAAAGATCCATAAAGGATGGCAAAATATGGACAGCCCTAACTGTCACAAATTCAAATTGATAACCAAGTTTACAGAACTTTAACTGATTCTACAGGAATGATTAATACCCTTATCCTTGCTCTCAACTTTTATCTTCATCTGCGATGATCAAGGAAGTCTCTTACTGTCTGTATAGCGTAAAAACATATTTGCCAGTTCATGTTTATGAACAACAGTTATTCATCCTCATGCAGCAAGCATGACATATTGCCTTGTTCAAGGCTATAAACATCAGAATCAAATATATCCATGTGAAACAGCAATTACGTGAGTAGCCTTCACAATAAAATTAACACAAATTAAGTTCACAGAATTACTCCCAGTTCCTACGACATTACTTTGTGATAGAGACTCTTTAAGTAAACATTGGAGCCCCCCAACTACGCTGTTAATCTTCCAAGCAACTTCAAAATAATGCTTGAGCAAATTTCCAGAGTTTCTTATTTTTCCCTGAACTTTTTGTTAGCTGCACTGGTATAAGTATGAGAAGACGAGATTTGCTCCCCCAATATTTAGTGCACTATTGTACTTGCCAGTAAAAATCTGGTCTTCCCACCAAATTTACGATTAATTCTTTCACAGCTTTTAACAATATGCTAATTTTGACATGTATTTCGAATTACTTTCAGAAGTGCACATATGGAAAAATATTATGCTCCCATGAACACGCATATTCCAACTGAATAATTTTTTCTATAAAGATTTTAAAGGTGCAAGATTATGAAATGACAACAAATGTAGCACATCTAATAAATTGAATGGCTATAGGCAAACATTAACATGATGAAAGTAACAATATCACCAATTTGGGGCCCCATTGGAGAGATTGTCAACAATATTAATATTCAGATTTCTTAGTAATAAATAGTTTCAACGGTTCCCAATGTCATAATAAATTTTACCAACTTATTCTGATTGTTTTATATGGACTTTAATTGAGTTCATTTGCCATGCTGTTGGTGTGATTATACATATATACAAAAGACTACAACACTAATAGCAAAAAAGCACTGAACAATTGGCCATGGAGTTTATGATACAAAGCAAATAATTAAACAGAAGAAAGGTATTACAAAAAATTCTACATCAATCCCCACAAATGAAATTCCATACCTGATCTTGTTGAAGACATTTCAATTTGGTTTTATACAAATGAATATACTTCCGGCGTTGGTTCCTGCCATTGAAATGAAGTTCAAACATTATTATCAATAACAGACACGAGTATGAATAATGCATACATACCAAGTCAATGGTGATGAGAACAAAATTGGACATTTGAACTTAAAAAAGATAGAATGTAGAACCCAATACTGCTTTTGTGGCCAATGTGAAGACGGAATTTGCTACATGTGTAACTAATATCTAAATATTACTGTTGCAACTATTTACGAGATTATTAACATACACAAAATAACATCTATGCCACCATAGCAGTTCATAGAATCAAAAAGAAGGAAAACAGCTTTCAACGAAATGAACATACTTACATACGCTCTCCCAGGTACTTCCAAGAAGTTCTCCTCAACTGCTTTCGAACATCTGACAGCACAGATTCCTGAGCATAGTGCCACCATGCTATTTGCCAACCTTTGTGCTTTTCCCCTAAAGGACTCCACCAAGGACGATACCTTCCATATCTACAATGTTTGAAGACATCACAAAAGGGTAATTACATTTGTGTATCAATTTCAAAACATTTTGGAGGATAAATAATTTTGTCCTGGAAATGTACATTCCTGCACCTAGAATAATTAAACAACAACAGCCAAATACGATAACATATATCCCAGCACATACAATAAGTATCCTATGATAATCAGTAAATTAAAAAAAATGAGTAAATTATCACAGCTTGACTTTAAGTTGTTCATATACCGAAAGCAGAAAGTGAGGGAGCTCTCGATACAGAGATCCCCTTCCTTGTGGCAGGAGGTTCCAAACATCTTTTCTTCTAGAGCGTTCACCCACTGCAGTAAAAGCATTCCTTTCTATTGACGAAATCTCTATTTTTGCTAATAGCTCATGTGATTCAATAGGAACCTCTTTCAAATAGCAAGGAGATCATGCTGGCAGACAGTACCTCCTCAAAAAGGCACAATCCCTTTGCAAACCAAAGTCTAAGGTATATCGTTGAAGAGAAAGCTCATGGCCCAAGGGAAGGTCTCACAGTAAACATGTCTTCCTTATGGTTCTTTAAACTAGTTTTGCAGAATTAGAATGCTCAGGATATTTTTTTAATTTCAACAGCTGCAGAGGATGAGCCACTGCTGCTGTAGAAACATTAGGTATTTGGGTCATCTAGAGTAATATCAGAAGGCTGCCTGCTCCAAGGTAGTTAAAGTCTAAACCAACTTCACTTACCAGACACATTAAGGATTAGCATTTTCGGTTGTTAGGACCATTTGAGTATTTTTGTGCTCCCCTCTATTTCAGTATTTAGCATCCATATCTAAGGGATTTCAGGGATACGAAGTCATTATTCTCTCTCCTCCTTGGTCATTTGGCAATAGTTTTTTGTCCTTTCCATTTTTTTTAGAAGATGTGCAGAGGATGTCCTAAGAAGTTATATCTGTTGCACTTGAGCTGAAGATTCCTCAAATCTATTTTTATAGAAATCAAAACAACTTGCCATTTCATTAGGATATTCTTGTTTCCTAGTAACTCCAATCTAGCCAATCAGAGTGAAGATACATTCAGTTACTGAACTAAAAAAGAAAAGAAGGCAAGATACCAATACCACTTCTATCATTACCAAGAGACAAAAACCAGCCAGAGAACTGTTGAAAAGATGAAGAACAACATATTGACATGACAGACAAAACAAGAGCATGAAGCTGAGATGTTTTCCAGATAATGACATGTTAACATACTCACTTCTCCCTCATTGGACATGTTGATAAATAATCACAAAGCGTCAAAATCTGTTGCAACTGAACTTCATCCAAAGACACAACCTAAAAGAGATAAAAGTTACAAATTTAATCAAGATAAGGTATTATTAACAAACTTAAAGGTAAATTTTCACTTTAAAGTAACAGTAACAAATGTACAGACCGGATTAGTTAAAACAACATTAACATTATACTGAGGAGCATCGTTCTCGAGCTTTCCTGATCTATTAACCTATTGGAAGGAAAAGAAAAAAAGTTACAAAAAGAAATATGAATATACACCAGGCAGACCATATGCCTACCACACATACAAATACACATTAGAACAGTATAGTTTCAGTAAACTACAATCAAGAACCTAAGCTATGAAGGAAAACAAAACTATGACAAAGAAAGAGTTAATCTATGCTGGATTAGGTGCAGTATAAGGCATTAGAAGCAATAAAATAGATAGATACAAAAAAAATGCATGAATACACAGGATTGTAAGTATCATAAAAGGGCAGACAAATACCCATCCAGAAATACAAAAGAAATGTAAAATCACCTTTCATAATAATGAAGTGCGAGAGCTGAAAATTCGACCATAAAAACATGACTTGTGAAAACTGTGCCAACTTCAAGGCACGTTCAAAGAATTATGCAAAGCATATGTAAGAATTTTTGTCTTTTCTGTACTGCAAAGTGCATCATATAAATAACAGGTTTTGAGGACAGTATTAAGCTGATGCCCTATCCGATAGCAAAGAACTTCCTTCATAAGCTAACAAACACTGCGAAGAGACCATGCAAAGCTCATGTTACACCATATACGTTATCTACATGCCAGTGCTAAACTTTAAACAATTTTCCAATGTATATGTCTTGGCCATGTTCTGTCCAAAGCATCCTAAACAATGCCATCTGTGATTAAGGACTAATATATTACCATTGATGCATGATGCAGAGGCAAGAATATGAGCAAATGGAAAATTGTAAAAGCAGACTTCCGTTTTTCTAGCAGTTTTGATGTATTTCAGTCAGCTCTAATTTCCTATTATAGATGGTCTGTTTTGTTAAAGAGTTTTTGGAGTATGGTACTCAATCTCACCATATGCTGGAGTAGATTCCTGAAGTAGGCGCCTGCCATAATGTCAGCCACATGACAATACAAAGTAGGATTTTCTGTTGGATTCTATATGTGTCAAAACCAAATTTGGCAGCTAGCTCCAATTAGACTTCTCACATTTATTAGCTTTCAGCTTCATTCGCTGTTAATGTCTCTTAGCAGTCAAGTGCTTTTTCATAAGAATGTTTGCGCCTATTAAACTTCCACACAGCCACATACATGCAAAAAATGGAATTAGGAACATAAAAAAAATTGAGGTAAAAATTCTTTATCAAGTCAATCTTGTTGAATTCTGCCTCCTTTATGTATTGAAGGAAGTCACACCATGGTGGTAAACCTTAAGGAAATCTAGATGGAACCCCAAGAATTTCTGCCGCACATTCACATTAAATCACAAGGAAATCTAGGCAGAATTTCAAGAATTTCTTCTCCTTGTTGTCCTCTTCCTTTCTCCTGAACACCAATTGCTTCCCTCTCCTATCTTAGATTCTTGAAACTCTCTTTACACTCTTTAGGATTTCTGCCAAGACATTCTGAAATCAGATCTCAACTCTACAAACTTCTTTGGTGCAGCATTCAATTTGGTATCAGAACTAAAAAATATTTTGTTAGCTTTGTTCTTTTTTTTTTTGTCCCGACAATGGTTACAAAGGCAGATATAGCTTTAAGATTGATGCGTTATCAAAAAGTGTTGACCAAATAAAATCCAAGTGAATTTGCTGCCAAAATTCCAGAGTGGATTCTCTCATGTCGTCCATCCTTTCTTTGAAACCTTTCACAGATGCTTCTGCTCATAAACAGAAGGGGGCCAAAAGAATTGGTTATAAATCAGCTTCCACTTAATCCAAAGAGCCGGGGGTGTGGGGGGATGCATTTCTCTTGTGGGAACAGAGTCAGGTAGTGGTCCAAACAACCAAGAAAGGAGGGGAAATCAAGTTTCAAGTTTCAACAATAACATCAAGTAACACAAAAGAAGCAATAGCGCAGGCAGAGTCAAAAAGGACAATTAAACAGAGGAACAAAGCATAGGAAGCAGCAAGAGATACATACCGAAAGATACACTAACACATTCAATGGGGATAACATGTGAACATGTTTATCGCCTTCAGGTCTTGAATTATCTTGATACTTTGAATCAATGCCACCATACATACTCATCAAATCAAGAGTCCCTTGAAAAGTTCTACAGTATGACTCCAACCCCTGAACTTCAATCACTTTATTGACTTGGCCCCCTCTTATTTTCCCACTAGACAATCTGAAAAGAAACAATTACAGAATAGGAAGAGTTGAGGATGTTGCAAAATGCAAACAATGTAAATTTCCACAGAAGAGAATTTCTCAAGGAAAAACTGGTAGTATTATCAGCACCAAAAAAAATCTATTAGACCATTTTGTATGAGTTCTGCATGGTCAAATGGGAACTCCTAAGTACTCACTCCAACACTCAGAAAATCCCAGCAATACAATATCTGAAGAGCTGAACTGAATCTGTCTTGTATCTCTGATCATTTAGGATGGTACTTCCATAAATAGTAAGAGAAGTAATGATGTAATACTAAAGTAGAGGCATAATATACACAGTGCCCAGCTTTGATCAAGACTTCCAAAATCACATTTCCCAAAATACTTTGACTGAACCGACTCAACAAGAGTTATCCCATAGTAGGTAGCCCTACTATACATACTAACAAGCGTGCGTGTGTGTATATATGTATATATGTATGTATGTAAATATATACTTCAAGAATATCCTCAAGATGTAGCATGTTTATTACAAGCTCCCAACAAGTAAACCTCCAAAATATTGGGTAAAAACGTCAGGTAAATCAATTTAAAGATTGTTCCAGACATTATCTAATTGCCTCTTCTAGCAACTCAACCCAATTAAAATAATGGCAATCAACTTTCATATGCATCATTCTCTCATGGAAAAATAGGTTACATGGACTATAAATTGCTAATTGGTTATCAGATGCTAAATTCAGAAGTTGACTATGCTCAAAACCCAGTTCGCATAATATGTCTTTAACCAGTTCAAATCAATGTACATGAGCAACAGCACTGCACACACATTGTGCACTTGCCCTGGCAACAACTTTTTGTTTCTACTCTTCCATGCCACTCAGTTTCGAGCCACAAACACATTATCTCTATTTGAAATTGAATCAACCCAATTTGCAGATTTACACCCTTCAATCTAACTAACACCAGAAAGCAAAAAATTTGTAGTGTAAGTTAGATTTCCACAATACTCTACTGGATCTTCTAACAACTCACACTCTTCTAGGAATAATTTCAAATTGGGACACACAAAAGTTCTTCACGCATTTGAAATATCATGCCAACATCAAATTATATCAAGAGCATACTTTCTTCAGAAAAAATGGATATCCAAAATGTATCTCGAAAATCTTCAGTTTGGCACCATAGCCAATGAGTAAATTAAGCTCTTGAATACCCTTACCTTTCTCACCTCTAATTATGCATCTTCATGCTTTAAGCTGCAATACCTTTAATTATAATATTATGAATACTTCAATGGAACACAGTGCATTCTACAAGTTTAATTTAAAATTGTAATCTTCAAATACGATTAACAGAATGTAAACCATATGGGGCTTATGTGGCTTGTCAAAAAGATAAGACAAACACAATAAGATGTGATTGGTCAAAATGAGAAAATGTCAAGGAAATGTATACTCTACTGGCTTGTGTATAGGTTCAATGCTATGGCGACCATGAAAATTCTTTGCAACAAAAATAGCTCATGAATAATGACCATTAATTTGCTCAGTTAACTGAAAGTTGCGACTTCTCTCATAAAAATTTGCTCTGATACCATGTTAACATAGTTTAGGAGAAAAAGAGTGATCACTTGGTTGGTGACCATCCATTATATAATAGAAAACAAATAGGTAAATGATAAGAATATCAATTCCTTTTTTCCAAAGAATTTTGAACAAGTATACACTTGAAAAGAAGTTTCACAACAATAAAACAACATTTGATCTTTGGCTTAGTACTATTAGTTGACCATGCAATAGGTCTATACCGCTGTTTACATACTCAAAACAACAAAATCTCAAATCTTAAGTACTAAGATGCACAAAAAGAGAAAAAAATTTAAGAAACCATAAAGTGGAGCCATTCTCAATAATTCACGCCCATGCCACACTTAAATCTTGCTTTATAGTCAGTTTTATTCAACAAAATTTTAGTAATAATCATACAGAACTTTCCATTGAACGCGCGATGGATAATAACTCAAATTATTGACTAATTTCACTATATCAAAGTTCTAGTTGTCTAGCAGTTACTTAGTAACAAGTTTTAAGGACAAATTTAAATCCTCAACACTATAAAAGGAATTGATTTGGACCTATTTGTTCTATGGGGAGCTAATCAACTTATCCCCAAGTTAATGAGAAATTTAGTTATTGTAGTTTCCTGCTTCTCTGAATTCCTTCTTTTTCTCTTATTTTACGTTGAAACCCTGTTTGCGATGAAGAAGGCCCTAAGTCACTGATGTGTGCTGCTAGTTATAGGAGATTTTCTACTCGCCCTACAACAAAAGGAGCTGCAGTAAGCGAAAACATACACGAAAACAATTCAAAGATCAAAGCTCAAGCTGTCAACCTATTAGGATGGACAATGAGAAATATGCATCTCATAGTGAGAGAAAATTAGGAAACTTTTAGAAGAGACCAACTGCAGAACAGAGAAAGTTGTCTGATAATGTCATTTATTCAGCTTGAGCCAGCATACCGATGTCACATCCTTGGTGGAAAAATGTGAAGTACAGAGAGAGAGAGAGAGAGAGAGAGCACTTGTATCTGACTACCAAAGTACAACCTCAACAAAATACACCTAACCCCCCTCTCAGGTTGAATAAATATATCAGAACTACCCTTTGCCACAGAGTGGGTTCAATCAGCTACACTATTTTTCAGGGTTTTAATGGATGAGAGTAAGGGTTTTCAAACAGTAACACACATTACAGGGAGTAGAAGAATACCCAACAAGATTTTGTCGGCTAATAGTCAGACCAGAAAACTTCAAACCAAATACAGTCACCGCCTGGAAATTAAAAGGAAAATAAAATGAAATAAGTATCTTGAATCTCTCTAATGATGTTCTATCAACGGTAACATGGTAATTTCTTCAGTAAATTGCTTCCACATAGGAGACTGAAAAAGACAATGACATAGTATGATGACAATAATACACAATATCGCTGTTGACAAGAAGATTACTTCAGACATTACCAAACCAAAAATAGCCCTTGAAGAGACTGTTGATTAATCATCTTCATTTCATAAAGTCTAAAAAATACCCCATCCATCCAATTTCATTGTTCATGCTTACTGGTTTTGTCCATGCCAAAATATTTTAACATGGGTTGAAAAATTAAATCAAGAAACCACTATTTCCCCATCTTAACCCCCTAAAATTTCCAGAGTAATGATCTTGATTAACAAAAGCAAAAGTAAATTGAAGGGAAATTGTTAATAACATGATGCCAAGTAATGAGTCTTAGTCAACTTTTGAATTTCTTGAACTGCGTGCACTTTGACCATGACTAGTGAAGAGCGGGTATATTTAAAAATCGCAGAGGAAGGGGGGCAACAGAAGGTCTACTCCTTTCCATTCTGGTGTTACTCTTAATTGAAACAGAATACAGATGCCAGTGTCATTGATGGTAAAGTTATAGGAGGTGGAATCTTGAGGGATCATCATGGCAAATTGGTTTTTGCATTCTACAGAGAATTTGGGGAGCTGTTACAGACTACATGTTTCTTTCTCTAAGGGTTTACAAAATGTGGACATTGAAGCAGATTCCCAGTCATTAGTGCTTCTCATTAATACCAATGCTTCATCCAAACGGCCTTTGTGCTACGTTCTGAGTAAAATACGGCATCTCCTCAAGGAAGTTTGGGGGTCTTTAAGGCAGATTTTCAGCTAGGCTAACTCCATGGCTGATTCCATTGCATCATGGGGTGCTCCATCAGAATGCTTTGTACATTTACTGTCAGTATTTCCAAAGAAGAATCAAGGTCATGTCAAACTAGTATGCTTAGACCTTTCCATGTAAGGGAGCAGTACTCCTTTATTTTTCAAAACACTAAAAATGTACGGAGGTCAGGTCTTATTGCCCCCCCCTTTATTTTTATTAATAAAATTTCGGGCTGGCATCGGTTTCCCCAAAAAATGAAATTAAAAAAGGAAGAGCATAAGACATGGCAGAAATGCCAGTCTTGTGCTAGCTCTTCTTTATTTTTTCTTTATTCTCTAAAGAAAAATGCTTGAGCAGCTTTCCTTCCTCGTAAAATTTTTGGCATTGAGTCTTCAAAAGCCGTTGATCAAAGCTTGTTCTTCACCAAAACCAACATCTCACATAAACCGACACTTTTTGGGTTAATATAGTAATGCGTGGACCAATGCTTAGCACAAATAAAAGCCAAGAACAATTAAGTTATGCAGATTCAAAACATTCAAACCTTTTCGCCAAAAGTATACAACAAGCAGCAAATGTCTAACCCTAGGAGAATCTTGTAGCAGAAGCCTAGCTGCTTTGCACATAAAATAATTAATCAACATCAAAAGAGTTAGAATTATTAGCTACCACGCAAGCCCTGCTTTATTTAGAATTCCTAAAGGTTATAGTCAGCTTTATAAGAACCAAAAAGAAATGACTTAACATCTCTATCAAAATAAAGGCAAAAACGAGACATGGAAGAAATTACCATCTTTACAACAATTATGAACCACATAACTCTGTAATAACTGTCAATTGAAATATTTACGCTCAACAAACAGCTTTCTTATTGGGCTCATTACCGAACAGATATATCAATAGTGCTTCAAGTTATTTTGTTATGCTGTATCATTGACATACATATTCCCTAATAAAAATATACAGATGCTAGGATGTTCAATTGATAAAATACAATGTAACGTCTAAGAAATATAGCAGAAATAGTACCGAAGCAGTCAGCATGTCCCGGTATAGGACGTGGACATTTCTTATAGACACTTGTATGCCATCAAGAATCTGTGTCAACAGAGAGAGAGAGAGAGAGAGATATGAGTTAACCCTTCAACAGAAATGAAACACAGTTAAGGGCACCTTATTGTAGTTGTTTTAGTAAAACTGCTGGTGCTTGTCCAAAACACTCAAATCATCCTCTATTTTGCAAAAATACACCTTCTCCCTCCCCACCACCAGTACCCACCTCCGCCACCAGTACTCTGTTTAACGTACTTTCCTTTTGGTGTTTTCCTAACACTTGTGGGTGCTTTAGAGTAATACTGTAGATAGTGTTTTAAACAAATTTTGTTTTCTAACATAGACCATCCAAACAGAGGCCATATTTATCAATCAAATGGACTCCCTTGGCTATTTTCTTCATGTAATGCATTTGAATTAAATTAATTTAAGGTAAAATATGGCCCCAAAGTGTCAACTGAGCCGTTGGCAAAGTATTCATTTTCACCTTCCAAACAATAAAAGCTGCTCCAGTTTTTACATTGAACCACTTTTGATTTCATACCACAGGAAAACCAACTCAAAACTAACCAACAGAAAGATTTTCCAGTTAAATACAATCTACACCAACTGCTAAGGCCCAAAGTCTCTTGAGATTTAGCTCTTGCAACCAAAATTTTAAATGAATAAAAGATATTTATCCTTATCGAACTAATTAAATCATATTCATCCCATTGCCTCCATTGACCATTAGAATTTCTACTTTACATCTGACTAACTAAAGAATTAAATGGACCTAAATTGTCAGATTAAGCAAGTCCAGTTAAGTGTTCACAAAACTTTATAACAGACATGTTAGGATTAGATAGTTTAATTCACATCCAATAATTGAAGCATTAATAACAAAAGCAAACTCAAAGATAGTAACAAGCAGAAACAGAGCAAATTTTCTTTGATGAGTAATATCTTGGAACTTCACAAAAAAGGAGTACTCAAGAGTAAAATTAGGACATACAGGCCAAATACTTTTATTTAGTTTTTACGCATACAATATATTACCGATGTATGTTCCTGAATCACACGTATAATTCATCTTTGTAATTATCTTTAATCATGTTTTGGCTTCACAAATTAGTTCAACTTCCTAGCTTGTACACAAAAGGGGGTAACAGCTACTTATATCTGAGAGCCACATCAGTAGTAGTAGTTACTCGTAGAAATAAATATTTTTCCAAGAAAAATGTCATCCTCATCATTTCCTACTCCTACCATTAAACAAAGAACAGTGCATACAAAACTGAAGTGCCATTGACACTCAACACTCTGTCATAGCTGCATCCTATACCAGTATCTACACTTTCTACAAAAAGCAAAGGAACAAATCATAGTTACCTTTGCAGTAATGTATGAACTAAATGATTTTCCAGCATGATCATCTGCAGCAAAGTGAAAATGTTATAAACACCCAAAGAAGAAACTGGAGACAATATATTTACTAGTCCCACAAAAAGAAAAGTTTTTCATTTTTGTAAACTGAAATTCTTAATTTTTATCAATATACTTCCCCACAAATGTATTATCAAGAGATTAGCCAATAAGTGGAATGATGAATAAGTCTTCATTGCAACGCAAATTTCTTTTCTAGAGCTTTAAATGTTTCCTAGTTCATTCTTTGTAATTTCAGTACTTCCCCAGTCACTTGACAGCAATAACTATTAAAAACTAACATATACATGCATATAAGAATTCAAATTCCTAGATTACTAACACAACAATCCAATTTTAATAGTCATGTCATCCCTCGTTGCAGAAAGGATCAATATCTTTGCCTTCTAGGAGGAAATCAACAAAACAGTCCCACTAAAGGCATGTTGGCTGTATAAGATATAAGATTTATGAGACTTCCTTCCACTTAAGACCAAATCATCCACCAAAGCAATAAATAATAAAGAAATTCTAGAAAATGCTTGGATTGGTAAAACATAAACCTGTTTTATAGTCCCATTGGCAGTTCAATCAATTACGAAGTGACCTCACTGAAGAGCTATTTTAGCACCATTAGTCTAACCAATAAAAAACTAGCCACACTTTACAAAGAAAAGTATTTCCCCAAACCATATTCAAGGTTTGTGCTCCACCCAACCGAAGATGATTTTCACCAAGTCATGCTATGATTCGATAGGATATTGCTACTCTGCTACATTAGAATCAAATTGACAAACAAAAGATGGCACACATGTAAATGACACAGTTTTTTAAAATCTAGGAAAAATCATTTAAAACGTCCCTAACATTTCACCGAATGAATTTTTCCATCCTTCATTTTTAAAATGGTAACTTTATGTCCCTTGCAAAATCAAGTCAATAAAATTTGGTTCCAACATAGGTTTCAACTACTTTTCACCGTGAAAGCACCACGTGACCCACATGCAGTCATTTTTTATGTACAAAAATGTCAGATCCCACTTTTTTAGTGGCAAAAATGAATATGGATTGGGTCCAATCCCACCTTTTTAAGGAAAAATAAACATAGTTAGCGCCAGATCCTACTTTTTAGGGCAAAAATAAATATGGATCAGATCATTTGTTTAACTACAAATGGGATTAATCTTTTTGCCCCTAAAAAATGATCATATGCGGGTCATATGATAGATTTAACGTAAACAGCAGTCAAAAACCTAAGTTGGGACCAAATTTTACCAACTTGATTTTGTAAGGGACGTAAAATTACTATTTTAAAAGTAAAGGATGAAAAAATTCGTTTAGCGAGATGTGAGGGACATTTTGAACAAATTTCTCTAAAATCTATGTATAAGCTGACATAATACCATAATCGCAGGCAGAGAGGAAAATAATGCTCCTCTTACACTTAATGCAATTTGATTAAAGATTGTTGGGAGATATGCATACTAATAAAAAGTGTATCTTTGCTAGACTGTGTTAGCAAGTAAAACTTTTCCAATGAAGTAGCCAATATATTATCTAACCAAACAAAACCACTCATGGTGCCTTCCAAATTCTGGATTCATTTATTCCTATTGAACAACATATCAAAACTCAAAGCCAAAAAAGAAAAAGTTATTGTTCTCCAAGACACATTTGTTAGATATGTTTTCAGATTACAAGGTTAACCAGCATGCTATTCCACTATGGACTCTCAACTCGTTAGCAACATGACAATCAAATTTTCACCCCTAACTAAATCAGTAAATGATAGATTATTTTCAAACATGATAGAGCCAATCATCATAATTAAATATGACCATTTAAATCAATCATTCCGATCCAATTCAAATCCTAAAAAATAATGCAAATAAAAACCAACAAATAAAAAAGTTTAGCAAGGATCTACTTGCAACTTGTTCTATATTGATAATTTTCAACTTAACAAAGGATCCAGTTTCTTTTTTTTTTCTTTACTGTTCTTCAGTAAAAAGAATATGCTCATTCCCATATTAAGTGCAGATTTATTTTCTGGGTATTCTTGGTTGCTTATAATAATTGTCTGCAGATAGCTTCTGTATTGAGCTTTTCTCGTTTTGCCTTGACTGAAAATATTAGCTTTATTTCAAGCTGAAACCCTATTATAAGAAGCAGCTATAAACATGCTGCAGAAAAGCTTTTGGTCTTTCAAATGTTCTTCAAAACAATGACAACTTCTCAATCTTTTAAACAGCGTTCTCAAGAATCACCCTTCATTTAAGCAAGTTGTTAAAAGTTAAGTAAACGAGATCAGGCCCTTTGCATACCCATATTCATTGATCACTTATAAAAGCCAATGACTATAAGCAATATCTCATAATCCTCTCTTCTAAATTTATGAGACAACCTTTTTGCAGTATTATTAATCTGGCTAAAGGTAGAATATTACAAGATGCTTAACAACCCCCATATATAGTGACATTATCTTAAAATTCATCTTTATAAAAGGGAACAATAATTTTTGGAGCCAAGGAATATCAATTGTGAAAGATGAAACTCTTATACCTACAAGCCAACCTTTATCAACCATTCAAACAAAAAATGAAGTTTGAAACCCTGTTCAATCTCTCCTTACACAAAGAATGTTTCCATAGTTCGCCACTTTCCAGATACATTTGTACTATGCAAACCTTTCAAAATTCCAAGCTCCACCATTCTCCTTCATAGGAAAAAACTTGAATCTCTACTCGTCAAAGAAAGCTCTATCATGTAGGATGAACCCAGTCCAACAGTTAACATTGACAAACATGTAACCAGAGATAAAAAGACTTATTAGCACAAACGTTCACCATAGGCTACAGCCATAGTAGCAAACCATCTAAGCACACATTCCTCAAGTCACAGCAAATATGTAATAAATCAACAGATATGGACGTGTTAATTCATCTATTAATGCTTTTAAGAGGAAAAGCAAAGGACAGAGAAGACAAATTGAACAAGACAAACACAAATATGGTCAAATTAGATATGTGATCATTTAAATAGGCAATTAAAAGCATCAACCATGAAGAATCCTATAGCAGTCCAGAGTCTTAGTCCCAGAAGAAGGAGGAGAGACAAGTGAAGAAGAAGAAGAACAGAAGCAGAGAAAGAAAACCAGGGAGTTGACAGACATTAAAACTTGTGCGCAACTCAGCCCTTACTTTTTCTTTTATAATGGTCACAAATTAGGGCAACATGATTTGGTACACAAGAGTGAGCAACAAATATAGCACAACCCAGTGCTAGCTGTTAGTTTAAAATTGAACTGACCAGATTTAAAAAGTCACCAAAAATTAACAAAAGGGCCATATTTTAGGTGCTATGTGCTATTGCGAACATGGTGACTGCTAATTAAAAGTGGATGCACTAGTGCTGAACTTCTGCTGGAGCCATAGCATACGCCATAGCAAGGCACTGAACTATGCATAAACTGCAAACATAAGTAGCAAGAGGAAATCATAGCCCGTAGAATCCCAATACAGCCCCAATGAAGTGGATGTACAAATCATGACATTATTCGTAACATATGAACCCGAAAAACTACCATAATCATGTACTCTTCATGTATAAGCTTACCGCTGATCACCAAAGAGTTCTTTTATTTCTTTCTGCATTCTTCTTTTAGTTTCACTCTAAATTGTCTTTACAAGCACTTAGAAATGCAAGCTCGGCGCCTCTTTTGGGATTATCTCATAAAGCTCAATAACAGTAAGCCCATGATTCTACTTACCACACACACGTCTTGACAGTTTGGCAAGCTCTGCAGCAGCAAGTTTAGCCTTTTTGCCTGCAAATTCTCTTTTCTCAATTTCATCTACAGACCACTGCCAAAAAAAGAAATGAAACATGACTAAAACTGTACATTAAAAAAACAATGGAACCAAAAAAAAAGCTGTATTATGTATAGAGTCAAAATGTCTAGGTAATTATTAGATTTCAAGGCAAAGGTACTAATTCATGGCTATGTACAGTACATATATCTGAAAAAGTTGACCTCATAATTTGACTATAATACTCAAATATACAGGGCAATTGTTCATCCTTATCATCATGCTATACTAATACTGGTTGAAGCAGCTGCTCTTCCTTTATAATATATAAGATCTCACGTGAGCAACAGCAAGAACTGGAGATAGATTCCAATAAAGTTATAGATATCTACAAAACACAGGAAGCAGAAAAACCTAGGAATGCACCAAGGGTTTGGCAGGAATTAGGCTTGGTAAAACATGGAGTCAACCTCAAAAAGACTAGATTCACAACAAACCTGCAGAAGAGAACATATATTTTTGCTTAAGTTCCTCCTTTTACTATAAGCAACATCCCCTATATAGTAAAGGCATTTATTGTAATCACCACTGGTCGATATCTCTATGAAAAATTTTTTAGGTTGCACAAATTGGGTTACTCATGCAAAGAGCTTCACACTTAAGTATTTGACTGAAAGAGTTTAAGTCATAAAAGTAGGTACATGCTAAAAAAGCTTGAAGTACTAAGATTGCACAACTAAGGTGCTGCTCCCAAAAGGGTCAAAATTCTTTCGTTGCCAAACAATGTTGGCTTGCTAAGGTCACCAATTTGGACCTGTTACAGTCTCATCTGACATGATAACTGGTTTTTCCTCATTGTAGACCTTACTTGAGGAGTATGTACAATTGGCATTCCAATCTCAATTCTTTTCCTTATTCAAGGGGTTTCACTTATTTAAGATCTAAAATTGCAGGAATCTTTATAGAGAAGGAGATAGACGCATCATTTTTACTATCAAATCAACTTCCCCACTTTTGGAACTGAAACTAGGATTTGTGTAGCTTATTGTAAGGTGACAACCCTATGAAACTTTCATGACTGTTGAATGCCAATCTCCTCTCTTTCTCTAGATAAAGTGCTTCATGCCGATAAAATCACGCAGTCATGGTTAACAAATAATTTTTCCGGGTAGGGATGAATATGTCAAAGAGACGAGAATGAGAAACACCCTTTATCTTAGACTCTATTGGAACAAAATAAAGAAGGGAACAAAATGAAGAAGGGGCAAGAGCAGTCATTTTGGTGCTGTGACCTATCAAAGGGGTAACATAAGTATATTCCACTAGCAGAATGGGACAAGCATATTTTCGAAAAGACATTCTTCACTAGAACTTTTAATTGATTTTGGAATAGGCAATCCACAATATATACAGCTTCTTGGAAGCAATTCTTGAGAGAACTAAGGGCCCATATGGATTAGGTGTTTTTCAAAAAATTGTAGCACTGTATTTCAAAAATTTACTATAAAATTAAAACTTTTTGGGGTACTTTCGAAATTTTAAATTTTGGTCTTCTCCCTCTCTACCTGAACCTCCTCACCCACTCCACCCTCTCCCTCCTCACCTGCTCCTCCCTCCCTCATCCCTCCCTCATCCCTTGCCAGCCACCCTCCTCCTTCCCCCCTTTCTCTCCTCCCTCCTCTTCCCCCCATCTCCTCCTTCCCCTTGCCCTCCTCTTTTCCCCCCTTCTTCCTTCCCTATCCAGCCCCACTCCTCACCCCTCCCCCAGATCACTTACCTCCTCCTTCCCATTCCCTCCTCTCCCCCCTCCCCTTTCCTTCCCCCGTCCCCCCAAAACCACTCCAGCTCCTCCCCCCTCCTTCTTCTTTTTATTAAGGAATTTTTTTTTGTATTTATTATATTTGGAGTGTTTTTCAGGTGTTTCTGGGGTGTGTCACTGTAGACTTGTATGTATTTAAGGTTTTGTACATACCCTGCAGTGAACCATTGGTCTTTCTGGACATGTCAAAACATCTTCAAGAAGAATTTTTATAATTCAAAGGCAATTCTTGATAGGTCGACAATGCTTAACTTGATGAGGGATCTCAACCTCCAATTTTCAATTCCCACTTTCTGACACAAAAATGTCCATTTTTTTGGACTCTCAAGGTGAATAGCATACAGCAGTATGATGTTTATCGAGCCCTCACATGGTGGGTTCATTATCAGAATGCCTTCCAATCCATTTTTGTCGTATGCCTAGTTTAAATCCATTGCTTATGTTGTGATAGGGCAAATCATACTAGCCAAAACATATCATGCAAAAATTATGTTAAGGAATATCAAACTGCCAAATCAAAGAACCACAGGTGATCTACAGTGAAAATAGTCTTATTTTAGTCGAAAATCAACCTACTAAATTAAGCATCTACTCCATATACAAACTCAGTAATCCAACGCAGCTGGCTTAAATTTACTCAAGCAAGTCTAAAATATGTTCCCCGTGTACAAGCAGTAGCAAGAATATAAACATGCTCCATTCAGATGAAACAAAGTAAAGAGGCTAAATCTTAAGAAAAGTTCTCTGATACACTTCACTGAGCAATTAACTTGTTTCTGTGATCATCAAACAGATCATATCTTGTTGAAGACCCAAGGAAATGAAGTTAGCAACCTAATAACTAAATTAAAATAGATTAAACCACAAGTTGGATAGAATGTTACCTCCTTGTCCTCTCGTTGACAGGCAGAAATAAAAACATCTTCCAAAACAATTATGATGGGGTCCCAACCGAGCTTTTTCCATGGAATCTTTATGCTCAATTTACCAACACGTCCTAATATACAAGATACATAAAGATGTTTATTTAAAAAAAAGCTGATCATAAAAATTCAAAAAAAGAACAAACTTTGTATACTTCTCAAATCCAACCAATTACGAGTGTTGATATCTGATGTAAAACATCATAACAGTAATCGATGGAACATAAACGAGCGGATTTACCATGCTTGAGAGCGAATGGCAACTGAAGGTAATCGAAAGCTTCAAGAATCAGCTCTACATTTTCCAAAAGAACTTCTTCTGCACAAACAAACAAGTAAAACCACATACCAGTATTCAATCATCAAGCTAAAAACAAAATTAACAAAAAAAAAAGGGTTAAATTAGGAAATAGTCATAAAAATACTCAACCGACCATTCCACAGTGTAATCTTAAGCTGCTCCTTTTGGATGTCTCTGATGTATCGACCCAAGTACCCCAATATCAGTTGCCGCACTAGCCCTTCGAACATCTTCCTTTCTTCCTATGCTCCTCCTCCGCACCACCACCACCAATACCAATTGAATTTAATCAATTAGACCTAATTCTGATTTCCACTACAAAATTTTGATGCATCCCTGCCCTAGCTGAAAGCTGAGAAAAATGAAATAATTAGAAAAAAAACACTAAGAAGATGAGAAAAACAAAGCATTTTAACATTGATTTACAGGTATTTACTTACTTTTTATTCGATACTAAAGCACGATAATTGTAGTACTAGTAACCATTCGTGGAAGTATGGAACGAAGGCGAAGGCGAAGACGAAGACGAAGATGAAGACGGAAGAGAAGAACACAGGGAGTTCCGTCAGCCAACAGCAGTGGGGGAATTCAATTTCTACTAACCAGAGCGAAGAAGTTTTTTAACTCTCAATTTTTACCAAGTCGATCCCTGTAACTTTACATTTATCCCAGTTTGCACCCACCCAATGTTTTAAAGCTAATCATTAAACCCCTAGCTTTTACCCTTAAAATGTATTAATTAATACTCTAGCTTCTAGCTTTTATCCTTAAAGTGTACAGTAACATAAAGTATTCTAGGTTTCATTACCTTTTTTCTCCTGCACTTTTTAGTTCAGAAATTTAGTGCGACCAGGGTCTATAATGGATATAGCAGTATGTGAAAAGTTTAGTAAAAGTATGAATTAAGGTATTTTAAAATTTTATTATTTTCCACCAATATCCACCACCTATTAGCACCGTCTGTCCTTCCAACCTTCTCTGCTATTGCCACTCCCTTCCCTCTCCCCCTCTTTTATCATCTCTCCTCCTCCCTCTTCCTCTTCTTTCTCTCCTTTCTCTTCCCCCCACTTCTCCTCTCTCTTTCCCTTTCTATTCCCCTCGCAACCCCCTCTCCTTTTTCTCCATCTCTGATCGCAAATGGAGAAGAGAGAGAATGAAGGGTAAGATGGCAATGGCAGCGATCGATAGCAATAGCAGTAGAAAGGGAGGGTGAAGGAAGAGTAGCGGTAGTATGGGGGAAGAAAAATAAGAGAGGAAAGAAAGGAGATAAAAAAGAAAATTAGAGAATTTTTCAATTTTTCCAAACCTTCAAATGCATAAAAACAATTTACAATAAAGTTTTATATAAATATAAACCATCTAAAAACACACCATTTCAACCTACCCAACAATTGCTCTTGAACAAATAAACTTAGCATCATTATCATTGACCTTACAAATTTGGAATAAAGAGCATCTTAAGAGTCATTTCCTTTGTATATTATTTTCTTAAAAGGCTATTAGATCATATTTGATAATCCAACTCAATACTTAAATTTAATGGATTAAAATCTTTACAAATCCAGATGTGTTTGACAATAAAAAAATTGAACACCTAAATTAATTTAGTGGCACTAAATTTTCTAAACAAAATATACTCTCAAAAATAAGTGATAAACTATTCACTTATCACTTAATGTGATATACACTCAAATTTAGCGTTTAACAATTCACTTATTTTTCTTAAAGAGAGCCTTCTTAAACACCGTGCTCCTTGATTGATTTGCAATTGTTAATTTTATTGCACTTTCACGCCTTAGACATTGCGTACTTAAAACCCTTCAAATCAACCACTTAACAATGAAAAACTGCCATAGCAACTCTTTTTACCTCTCAATCCTTGCATATACATTGATATTGTCAAATTCTAGAAGTCTGAATTCCATATTAGAAAGAGAAAATTATAGATAATTGTTGCAAATTTCAGTTTCCTATTAGTAGAGTAATGAAAAAAATAAAAATAAAAAAAGAAAACATTGAACATGAAATCAAATAATAACCCAAAAAAAAGAGAAACTTTGGGAAGAAGGCCAAAAAATAGAGCATAAGGAGAAATAAGGGATTAAATTAATTTATTTTTGAAAAAAAAATGCTCATATCTTATTCCATATTTTTTTCTTCTGCCTCATCACATACTATTTTTCGCTCTTCTTATTAGGATGGTCAATTTGTAGATCTTAAATAAGTAGAGTCAAACCAAGTATGTCATACATAAAATCTATTCATTAAGTTACTCGAATAAAACTCGTGTTCGATTCATTAAACAAAACCTTAGTTCGAGTTCAAATTTAAACTCAACTTTAGATCTGGCAATTATGCCCAAAACTCAACAACCCATCCAACCCACCCACTAATTTGAGAGGTTAGGTTGGGTTAGGTAATTTGGGTATTGGGTTAATTTTGGGTTGGGTAATAAAAATTCAAATATATTTTGGACGGTTTGGGTATTTGTGTTGGGTACCCATTACCCAACTTAAATTTAAAAAATTAATTAATTAATTAAATTCAAGAAATACGACTCTTGTTTCCGATGACTTCAACGATAACTTTTGTTTTTCTGCCCGAATAAATCACCACCACCTCCTCCTTTGCCACCTCTACTCTTGAGCAAATTCACATCTCTCCTTCAATTTGTATTCAACCATGTTTGGTGTTTGATATATTGCCCCAGTAAGCCATTGTTTCTCAAAGTCTCTTATCAATGATATAACTAGCTTAAGATTTTAGAAAACCATACCACTAACAAATATTGTTTTAGAAAACCATGAAAAATATCGACCACCACCACCAAAATCCATATCAGAAATGCAATTGCAATATAGAAACCTATCCAGATCAGCGGCTGAGCATATTGTGCTAGATCTTGTAAAGTCCGTTGGCATGCTTCATATCGTTTTTGGACTACTTCACAAATTGTGTTTTCATTGGAGCTTTTCAAATGAATTGAATAGTGATATATGAACTAATTGGTTGAGAATTGTATCTCTCTCAACAAAATTTCAGTTTAATTTAGGTGTGATTGGATCTTTTATAGGACTAAAAATAGTTTAAACGGTTAATACGTGTGTATTTGTGAAAGTATATTAGTGTGTATTTTAGTATATAAAAATAATGTATTTCTAAAGAATTTAAAAAGCGAGTGTGTGGTTGTATCTGTGAAAGTATTTTAGTGTGCGAAAATATGTTTATGTGTGTGAAATTTTTTTTTTTTTTGTATGTAAAAATGTATTTGAAAGAATTTATGTATCAAAATCTATTAATTAATATATTGAGTCATTTCAAACCCATGACCCAATATGATTCAACCCAAAATTAACCCCATCTAAAATTGGGCGGGTTGGGTATAACCCATTTGACTGAAAACCCAATATCAACCCACCCAACCCGCCCAATTGCCAGATATACTGAACTCGTTTAACATAAACGAGCCATTTGTGAATAGGCTCAAGCTGTTTGATGGGAACTTTGTGAAGTTTCAGTGGCCTGGGTACGAGACTAACAAAGGCCGGAGAGCTTGGAATAGAAATTAGGAATACAATATTAGTTCTAGATTTTGTGAAATAACAATTACGCCCATCTTTGTGAACAATGGTTTAAATTTGCTAATGAACTCTTGTTCATTTAATTACTTATATAGTCAAAATGATTGTTCGAACTCGACTCATATAAAATTTTGAACAAACAGTTATCAAATATGAATGAGCTTAAATGAGTTGAGTTATTGAGTAGCTCGGTTTATTTAACAACACTATCAATTTGGGTCTTTGAGCCAAATTTTTTTTTAGTTCAAGCCCTAGTTTGATGAAAAACATATTGTCACCGCAAGAGATTGATTGTCTCGGGCTTAAATTGTTAGAGCCCAATCTTGGTGCAATTAGTTTATAGGGTATCTCATCTAATACTGGCTTATATTGGCTTGGCCCAAATAAAAATTTTTGCACATTTTATTATTTAATTAAAAAGTATTTCACCAAAAGCATAAGATTTGAATTTAAAACCCAAAGTTATAGAAAATTCACATAAAACTACCTTAAATTAATATCATAAACTTGTCAAGTAATAACAATTTTCACATAATAAATGAATTATGATTTAATTATTGAAATGACAATTAAACATAAGGATAATTGCAGAAACCTCTCTTGAGGTTTTTAACAATTTCACCTAGTTCCTTTGAGGTTTGAAAACTTACGCATATCTCCCCTGAATTTACCATTTTGGTAACAAATACTATTTAATGGTCAAAATTTTGAGTGAATTACCCAAAATATCCTCATGAAATTGTGAAATTCATTTTACCTTATTATAAAATTATTTTAAAATATATGGAACATGCACAAAATCTCACACTCATTGTTAACCCTCATCTCAACTTTTTTAAACCTTTCATATTATCACATCTCAAATTAGTACCATTATCGCCATGATCATTAGAACCATCAATTCCTAAATTCTAAAATCGCAATCGAAATTTAAAAAATTCAAAAAATTTCGATAACTGCATTAATACTACATCCTAACCCTCAAATGTTGGAGTACCAATACCAGTTTTATCATTTTTAAACCTAACTTACATCTGATTCTATTTGTCCCCAAATCCGTCAAACAAAGCTAAAATTAATTTGTAATATGTTACAATTGTGTTTAAGACATAATCGATTATTCCACGAGTGAATTTTATTTCTGTTTCCATTAAATATCTAATTATGTGATACAATCATATGAGATTAGGAGTAGATTGTTTAATTGCATTAAAAAAATATTAATATGTTAAGGCTATTGTGTTTATTTTGTATGGCAAATGGAGGTAACTATAATATTGAAAATCTTAAGGGTACTAGGTGAAATTATTAGAAATCTCGAGAGAGATTTTTGAAATTTTCCCTTAAACATATATAGAGAGATCTGGGTCAAACTTATATTACCCTGAGTTTTGAATTGCTCAAATCAGTTGATTTTAAATTTCGACCTATATATAGGCCCATACATAGCTCAACAATTTTTTTTTGAGTTGAGATTGGTCGAACTTGTGTCACTCAACCCAATTAACAGTCCTACTATTTATTGGTATTTTTTAGAAAACTTAAGCTCATTTGGTTGTAGTAAAACAAGGGCGTATATGGATATCAATTTTTTCCAATAACTATTTTTGTTTCTAGAGTTTATAGTAGCACTCCAAAAACACACACAGCCTAAAATACATCTAATAAATAAATAAATAAATAATTTATACACTTTTTCTTTTTTACCCACTACCACCCCACCACATACCATCGTCACTACCGCCATCTACTACTGCCTCCAACACCTTACTCTTTCTCTCTCCTTCCTCTCCCTCTTCTTCCTCCTTCTTCTTCTTTTCTATTCCCTTGCCACTCCCTTTCCTTCTTTCTGATGCAGAAAAGTAGGAAAGTCCCAAAATTCCAACTCAGAAGGACAAAAGTTGGAGAATATTCCTCAAAGAATTGGAACAGAATTGAATTATTGTTATAGAGAGAAAAAAGGATTACAGAAGATTGTAATGAGAATCGGCCAAGAACTTCTACTCTTTTCCCTACTTTTTCTGCTGCTATATATAGACTACAAGAATATGACCGACTTGGTAACTACTTTGCCAAGTCAGCTTAATTGCCTAACCAATTTGCCAGCTCGGCATAACCTTCTACCTAACTAATTTTCCCTACCCCTTATTTGGTCATCAGTATACATCATACAATCCATAATGCATCAATTGCCCCCCTCTGAAGAATATCCTTGTCCTCAAGAATGAAAGGACAGGTACTTCTGCTG